TCTACCTTTTGCTTTCTTTACCCCTATCAATCTCGTTTCTAAGCATATTCTCAGATGTGCTGTTACAGTCTCTGCGAAAATTCCAGAAGGCGGATACTAACGGTTGAAATTCTCAGGCTTTTTATTCAGTGTGATTAATCGTTTGGCACAGACACCTTATTCGGTTATGCCACCTATTAGATACAGTACCAAAGGAAGATAAACCAAATTTTATCTACAAAATAAACTGCAGAAACTGAGAAAAACACTATAGCGGACAGTGTAGTCACTATCTTTATATCTGCCTGCATGAACGTCATCTAGCAGTGAAACGTCATGACATGAATTCTGCTAGGAAAATGTAGGAATCCTGGATAGATGAGATATAAAGAATGCTGAAGAGGTTTAGAAGTTTGGCAATCAGGTCAGTCAGTGACCGATAGACATAATGACATAATCCATCAACCAATAAAAAGCAAAAAGAAGGTCAACATCTCTGTCGATGAGATAACCAATCAAAATGCTTTTTGGAGATAATGACAAGATTATAGCAGAGATAAACACACACATGGTCATCAGAACAAACTATTCAACAATTTGTGAAGAAAATCCCATAGCTCACTGGTGACATCATCATGAAAGGCGAACTAAACCTTCGTCATTAAATTATCCAGTTCAGAGAAAACATAACCATCATCTAGAAAGCGTATCCCTTTACGTAGTTGTAATTTTAAGCATTAACTTCTGAAAGACACTCAAAGTACCAATACTGAAGACTAATCTCTACTAAATTTTTCGTGGCTGGTAATTCCCATTCATTTAGTCGTTAGTCGAGGGCCCGCGCCAGGCCCTCGAGTCAAACCTAAAGGAGAAACGAAGAGTTCGGAGTCCGAGGGTGACATAGAGGAGGTGGTATGAGAAAGAAATGAAAGTTTCTGGGCAGTCGTTGAGCCAGTCTCGAAAGACTGCAGAGAACAGAGTGAAATGGAGACTTGCAACTGAAGCTCTATGTTTCACTAGGAACCCAAAGGATAAATAATAATAATAATACTATTTCGCGTTGTTATTCATCGTAGACTGACTGACATCAGTTGGAGGGACAAAAAAGACCTGGGAGCACTGGACAGCTGTTTCGTCCTAGTGTGGGACTCCTCAGCAGTGCGCACCCACGAACCCTCCCCCCAGGGACCGGACCCGCGACCTTCAGGTTCCGTGGCCAGCACGTTACCATTGAGCCACTGGGTCGGAATCCAATGGTCCATATTTCCAACTTCTGTTAGCTCACGATGTAGCGCAACCGCCACTCAATGTCATCGTTGAGTATCTGTCCTCATGGCCATCAGGCCATCGTGAGCTAACAGAAGTTGGAAATATGGACCATTGGATTCCGACTCAGTGGCTCAATGGTAACGTGCTGGCCACGGAACCTGAAGGTCGCGAGTTCGATCCCTGGAGGGCGGGTTTGTGGGTGCGCACTGCTGAGGAGTCCCATGCTAGGACGGAACTGCCGTCCACTGCTCCCAGGTTTCCTTTGTTCCTTCAACTGATGTCATTCTACGATGAATAACAACTTGAAATATTTCCAAATCTCCACAACTCCTTCAAAGTAATAATAGTCAATTTGCATATTATTCAAGTAGAATGTTGCATTTATTGAACGTTCAATTGTCTTGTCACAATTAGACATTGATCGATCTACATTCAGTTTTGTTTCCGTACTCCTGCAACCGAAACTTTTCATTCAAACTTGAACATCAAGGTCATTTATGGTTCTGCCAGGTTATCAGTAACTAAAAGATATATATATTTATTAGATATTTAACTTCAAAAAACTTGCTTTATTAACCAAGTGAATGTGATTATTTTTTAGTTTTAAAAAACTGATATTCACCAGGTGATATGTTTACATCACAGACTGGAATTTTTGTTCATTTCTATAATGGCGGTATTTTCTAACTGGCAACACTACATGTTCAAATCATCATAACATGAAAACAAAGTTTGGAGAGGAAAAGACACAGATGAAGATTGAGGTGGAGAGGAATGGAGTGGAGTGGAGACGGAGGACTAGGGAAAGTTTGTTGTTTGAAACTCCTATTTCGCTGTCTTTAGCCACCTCAAAGGCGAAATATTTCTGGAATTTCTAAGTCTACAAATTTGTTTTCAGTTGAAATTTCAGTAAATTTTAACAGTTGTTTGGTCTTTTTCATAAAGTTATGCGACAGAAAGTCACCGTTTCGCTAGTCTATTGATCAGTAAAGTATAAACTGTGGTAGAGTGTTTTATTTTATTCCCTGGATTTATGTTACGAGGAGAATGATGATGGGGATCGAAGAAGAATTTCAACTATTTTGGCAGTATGGCTGACAGTCTCTTAGCTATAAGCTTAATCTCACTCGACTTGAAAAAAGATCCACCTTACAGCTAAATCATCAACATCAGTGTCTTTATCCCTTTCAAATGAAGGGGATGGCATTCTGTTCAGAGATGGATGCAGTAAGTGAGCTCTTTGATGACACACTTTTCTCGCTAATCCTTGTCATTGAGTAATCTGAATCATCTGTTTCGCTCTCCTCGTCTTAAATGCAGCTTGAAAACTGACGACAACATGGTGGTACAGTGGGAATATCTGGATCTTGTGTTTCCTGTCAGCTGTAGCCAATCTCTAATGACCTTCTGTAGTGCATCACGTCTCCCTGGAAAAAAAGTAACATTATTTACCAGTCGTTAAACGACATTACTGATCATATATCTAATGATTCTCTTATCGTTATTAACATCACATATAAGAGGGGAAGTCAAACTAGTGGTACTCGGGAGATGACGAAATGACCTTCTCATGATACATGTCCTAACTCCAAAGAAAGGTAAATTTTCATGAATTCTGTAATCATCTCTGGCAGATATTGCCTTTATAATCGAGTATTGTACGCTCAAGATAGTCATCACAGACTGAGATCAGTTGGGAAGCCACTGAAAACTTGAAAGCACCTGACAGCTGTTTTTCCTTAGTATAGGACTGCTTGGTCGTATGGACCTACGACCTTTCCAGGGACTGAACTCTTTCCATCTCGGCGAAATGACGAATAAAATCCCCACAAAGCCCAAACTACATTGATTTGTAGTACTCATTAGTGACATACTTCCAGATGGATATCATGAAGTTCTAATGAGAAGTCATGACCTGTGGGGTCAGCCAATCGAAAGGCTATGTCACTCTTCGGTCTTACTATATTGCGAATCGACACAAGCAGGAAACTGCGGACCCCCCAGACTTGAGCTCAGTGTCTAAATAGTTAACGCGTTCACCGCGAGACCTGAATGTCTTGGGTTCGAGCCTTAGTATGTGCTTATGAGAATTTTCCATGCTTACATGAAACAAATGATTAGTGCCGCCAGGTTTCTAACTGTTCTCCAGCTGATGCCAGTCCATGATGAATGCCACCTTCGGAATGAAATCCCCATTAGCCTCAAACTACATTAAGATATATATGTCTAAGGAGAATAAAAAATTCTGTTTATTTTCGGAAACACTATCAAAGTTTCCAATAAACCAACAACTTGAATTTATGCTTACTATTCCCAATATCAGCCGTTTTCTAAAGCACACTCTGACACTCTACATGCTTTCTCATTGTCTGAATATTCCTAAAGAGGTTGTTAACTGGGTTTTCTGAAAGCCGACGAAGTCTTACATCAAAATAGTGACCTAACGGTAATCATGTTACTCAGAAATTATCTTATGCTGGTAAATTTTTACCTATTTCATTTCCACTAGTAAAGAAAGGAGTCGCCTACTGAAGTGATTTTCCTCATGACTTATGATGTTAGGCTGTTCATGTATATTGTAACATGTTTGATTCGTTAGCTACACACAACTATTCTAATGAATCTGATAAGGAAAGTCATGGGAAACTGACAGAATGCATACCTCGATAAAGCATACGTAAACAACAAGTTATCCAAAAATCCAGACGCATTTACATATTTTTTATGCAGGGTTAAGTCTTCAGACAAATAACTAGTTGTTTCACCCGAAGTAGATACATTGATATCTAATTCTTAGTAGCTAGTAGTGAATCTAGTATGTATACTTCTTCCTAATTAGGACCCCCAGACAGGATGTACTTGGATCCTAGTAAAGGATATTGCTAACACTGAAATTCATACCTGTCACTCATGGGCTCAAATGGTAGGATGATATTCAACAAGATAATGAGTCACAAAAAGCGCATTTCCTGTAACTGATACCAGTTATTACTTTCTAACACTTCTGATTAGGGTCTGAAGCAGCGAAAAATGTATCACGGACATCAGTCTACCCACCAACAAGTGGGACTTGAAGCAATATTGAGCCATACGTTCAATAAGCTCGTATGCTAACACAGGCCACTTATTTGATACAGTGGTTAGTTACAAGTATATGACGCCATATGGCGTTAGCAACAATGGTACACAAGGTGGCTACCGTAGATGTATCGCATAGGCCGATTCTTAAGGTTACTCGAGATATTTAAATATTATTCCAGCAGTGTTGTACGAATCGATCCAAGAGGCAGTTATCAATTCTACTTTGCGGTCCTGAAGATGACCTGTAGTAGCGTAACGTTTCATGAGTCAGAAAGCCTAGTGGATGATGTTTTACTTCCAAACAAGAAGCACCTTCAAGACAGATTTAAAATAGAAGAAAAGCTAGTGAATGACTTGGGTTTCTGTAGACCACGTGTTTCAATAGAGGTGGAATGCACTGACTTTCCCCGATGGTCAGCTGTTTTGTGTTATACAGTTGAGCATCATAAATCTTTGTGTACTGCAAATTTGCTTCTCTGATGAAGGGAAGGGTTTCTGTGATAAGCCGAAGATCTTGCTTGTTAGTGAGTGCTAATATGCCAGTGACCTTGGTCAGTTAGCGAAATAACCTAAGGAAACACAGTCCTACACACACAAACAAGCATACGAAAGGGCATAATTAAAGCTAACATGAAATAAAATAAGGTCAAATGAGAACATGAAACTCTTACTACTTTTGTCCCACTCTAAGAAGGCTGGATTTCGAAATCCTGTTTCAATGGCAGAGTTAAAAGTATTCGTACTCATCATGTCGAAGTCTTCACTATGATCAATAAATCGTACACCTTCTTTTAGGCCAAGAGTACGTGGGCATATGGCGCCCAGATTATTCGATGACACTGATGAGGAGCATATACTCGAATTTCGACTATTTCTATGCTTATGTGAACCGAGTAAACGTTCACGAATATCTAACAGCATGACAGTTGACCAAATATATACATCAGAGAGATGCAGTAAACATAGGAGTATAAATAATGCGATATATAAGCAAGCATTTGTACATACACACAAACGTATATACATAGATAATGCGAGATATTTTGAGTAGGGTATATTCCAAAAATCAAAGTCAGTCCCACCAACCAACCATTTTACATCATCACAAAAGTTATGCATGTTGGCATCATGTTAGTTGTTGTTTAATGCAGTAAGGTTAGGAAACATGATGATTTATGGATTAATAAGGAATATATTGGTGTGTAGAGATTAGTAGTATTAATTAGGCAAAGCACCGGGAATGTACACACAAACAGATATGAACACATGAAACCATGAGTAGTATTGTCGATTGGTTATGTAAGAAGCATGCATTTTTTTAAAAAACACCCATACGGTACCCCCCAAAATTGCATAAAAAGAAAACAGGAGAGAGAAAAATAGGTAAGAATGGTGTATTTACCGAAAACGAATAATGAAAACGTATTTTATTACCAATATTACACTTGTCCTGGCTATCGTAATGAAACTACTGATATTTTATTTAAGTAGCAACAAACATATGGCAAAAAATAAAATTCTGGTGTCATCCTTTCCTTTTACGGCGTAAAATGATAAACATCACAGAGAATTAAAGCTTAAAATCATAAATTTTGCCTATTAGCCGGTAGAAAGTCGAATGATTTTTCCAGGTTAAAAGCAAATGGTTTCATAGATTGCGAAACAGAACTGAATCTTTTTAAATAAATGCTCTCTGTGATTTATCATACATGTTATCTGCCACAGCTATACTAGGTCAAAGTGTTCAACCTCTGTCAGCAAACAAGCTCCTATGTGGATGCCTCGACAGTTCCTGAAATTCCATCGTGTTACAGTTTACTTGGTGCCTATCAGTGAAATCCAGGATGCATGATTTGTCCCATTCGGGACTAGTCAGCTGGATGTACCTGAACCTTAATGACTGATTAATGCTCTCACTGAGACCTGAGCCATGTACCGATCGCTTCAAACGCCAAGGCATTATCCACTAGGCAACTTAGGTAGGACGACCACTTCTTGTAAAACGGGCATCAAGTGTTTCGTACTAACACATATAATCTCACGTTTCTATACTAGGTCGAATTACTCGAACCCCACCCCCTCTCTGTGATCATTGGTTTTCATATATTTTGCCGATAGCTAATTACAGTCACTAAAATCATAAACTGAAATCTAAAGAAAATATATTTTCATAGAAATTCAAAGGATAAATGACTGAGTAGGCATTTATTTATAAAAGCAAAAAAAGGAAAACATGAATACATCTGGCTTCCAGATTTTTTTAATATTTCACTTAGAGATTTCAAGTCTGAGAACTAGAAACACCTGCTTTGAACGCAGGCTGTATTGATTTTTTCCAGTCAATTAGTGAAAAAAAAGGAGAGAAAACCATAGAAAGTAATTGATGATAGTTCCTAGTATAAACAAATCAGGTTGAATAAACAAACTTTTAACCGTTAACCCATACCATAATTAACCTTGTTTTGGATTACTAAAGGTTTATATTAGGAAATGAATATATTTCTAAGTAAAACAATGGTTGATTTATTTTTTCGCTTATTGGAATGGTGTTGTGGTAAGTTCATACGAGAGAAATCAGTTTAAAGTACGTAAACATTTTTCATTTATAAAGTGTATTTTTCGTTCAATGTTCACCTAGCCTAACCATACGAAAACAATTAACTGGATTATGATTTGTGGTAATGTGTGAATCAAATTGCAACGCTACGCCACGCATCATCATAGAACATAGCACAGAATGGCAGTCAACTCAACCTCAACTTCATCGACTTTGAAAAGGCTTCGGTAGCGTCGACTGTGAAGTAATTTCGCAGCTGCTACAACACTACGGTTGTAGTGCCACAAACCTTTATCAACTTCATTGAATAGCTACATGATATATGAGGATGCTACATGCCAAGTGATTTAAAACACAGTGGAAAGCTTAGTGGTGCTTTTGAAGTGAAGACAGGAAGGAGTAAGACAAGGTTACCGCCTACTATCACCGATGATCTTCCTGATTGTGGTTGATTGGTCTGAACTGGATCATTCAACAAACTGTGAGGAGCCAGAAGAGGAGCATACATTGGCTGGACCAATGAAAAGACACCTTAGAAGATTTGGATTTTGCTGACGATGACTTATGTCCAGTGTCTTGTAGCACAAACTCGAAGATCTACAGGTGAAAACTAACAAGTTGGGAGAAGAGGCAGTGAAGATCGGACTTCAATTGAATGTACCGAAGACAGAGGTGATGAAGATACCCAACCAACAACAACAAGCTCCAATTGCCATCAACGGGAGAAATTTAAAGGAAGTTGTCTTTTTCACCTACCTATCTAGGCAGCATCGTTTCAACTACAGGCGGCACAGATCAGGATATCAAAGCCAGCCAGGATTGGAAAGACAGCAAGACAGGCCTTCCTACATGAATCTGAAATCAATGTGGAGATCTGCTGCACTGCACTCTGCATAAAGTGTGAACAACATTCGGATTTTAAACACTCATGTCAAGTAAGTCAGTGCTTGTATGTGATGGCTGAGAGACACGGCGCGTTCGGAAAAGTATTTCCAACAAAGTGCAGATATACATGAACATCTGTCACCTACGCTCACTCAATACTGAAGATCAGATGGATGGCCAAAAAGAATAAGCAACTCTAGCTGGCTGAATGGCAACGAGCCAACGAAGAAGCTATCGCCCATCAAATATTCAGAGGAAAGTGGAGATGGATTGGATTGAACATACACTGAGAAGAGGAGACTGTTTGGGGGCATCACGCGCCAGGTCATCGAATGGAATGGAAGTGGGAAATGATGAGTCAAGCGTTTGGGGGTGACATGGAGGAGATCGTGTAAGGAAGAAATTAAGGCTATGAGTCTTCTTCCGACCGAGAACTTTAACGTCAACTGTTTAACAGCTCTTTCGAAGATAAATCTTGTTAGCACATAGTTAAAAGTCATTAGCAATTTTGGAATTTATGAATTATTCTGCAGACTATCAGGTAAAGATTTATGAACAACTCTATGCATACTTCTTGGTTAGTCAGGTGTATTTCTCACAGTCTGACGCAACTAACCAGCTGTTTTCAACAAAGTAACAAGAAAGAGTTTAGCCACATGAACAGCTCCATAGTTTTTTCCTTTCCTAGGACAGTCTATGCGCCAGACAAATTTAGCTCTCCACTCCTATCGATATGGGCTTTATTCTGATAAAAAATGGTAATCATTGTAACTATCTCAAGTAGCCTTCGTTTGACAGTCTAGTTTTATTCATACTGAATAAGGATTCAAGGTGATTCAAGCTAGGATTCGAATGAACGACCTTCCGTGTACTGTACTGCTGGCCTATCAAATAAGCATTGAGATATGAGTGAACGTAATATCTAGTCAACAACTGGGTCTCGTGGCTCACTTGGTGGAGCCCCAGACAGATAATCCGAAGACCATAGGTTCCAGTCTTGCGTTAACCCAGATTTTCATCCCGACTTCAATCATAGCATAACATGAAAAACTGGTAGATTAACAAACTTGCTGGTGGCCAGTGAACATATTTATGGGTGGTCCAAGTACACCTACTTGGTAACCTTGAGTAAATTGAGCTTGACTACACTTAATATTAACTAATCAGTTAAATGCATCTACAACGCTTCACAAGAAAAAACTACATTAGATTTTCTACAACAACAACTACTACTACTATTACTATACACCAGAAGTCATTTCTTGAATATACCTGCCAGAAATATTCGGTGTACTTTCTTGCCTTTCCCTAGTTTATGCTTTCACATAAACTTTTACATGATTGGCCAGTTATATAAACGTAAAATGCAGTCACGCTTAATATTCCTCAAGGTTATCTATTAAGTTAGAGAGTTCATATGCTGATTTCGCAGAAGCATCAAACCAATTGAAGCGTTTTGCAACTGCACCATCATTTTATTTTACTTATTTGATGTATCACATAGTGAAACACTTTAGTTATGAATACGGACAATAAATTATGTCCAAAACAGTCTCCAAAAACAGTAAATAATCCTGCTTCACTGTTTGATAGACAATACCCATTTTACCATTTTTACATTAACTCCATCAACAGGTAGTAGCCTATAGTAACGATATGTATCATCTTTCAGTTGGGTGTTTGTGTGCCTATTCCAGTCGTGATCTTAAATACTCTATGATGAATTCAGTGTCCTTGATAATGAACGAGGTATGCATTTCCCTAAAGCTGCGAATGTGTGAGAGAAGTAGGATTTAATGAATTCAGAAATTTCAGCAGTACTCGTCAACCGTTCACTCTACATACTTGATTATATATACCTCCAAACAATGCAAAATAACATACATATATGTATATGTAACGTGGAGTGAGACATCGATTCAGGTGTAACAACATAGAAGTGAGCAGTTTCTACAGGTTAAGTGGTAATGTAAGGGGTAGAAATGGATGTTCGAAACTGGGTGGGTTGGTGATAGGTTACATGATTACCTATGAGTATGGATAACAGTGGATTTCAAGAGAGCCAGAAAAATTTATTATGACAGCACATCAGATTACGAAATGATGATTTTTAAAAAGGTCTTAGTGAAGAATAGGTGATCAGAAAGCTTTATTAACAAGCACACAAAATGAGTAGGAAGCAGAACAACGTCCCCAACAGTACAGAAGAAACCAGTCTATATCACCTTACCATATAAAGGTGACGACGTGCTAGAGGTAGTTAGACGAAGACTGGAGAAATCTGTCAGAAAGACTTACTACTCTGCTAAACTCGTTCTCCTCAGCATCATCAACAGGGTACTTACTGTAACAATCAGGGAAAAGCAAGACTTCGATGCTTGACACGTCTAAATGCATATATCAATTTGAATGTACCTGCGGAAGCAAATACATTGGTCATATGGAGAGGAGGATGGTTGAAGCATGCCAAAAAGCTGGATTATGGGCATAATATTGATACCTACAGGTCCTTTACAGTTATCAGTAGAAAGTAAAATCTAAAAAAATGCTTAGAATTGTAGAAACCCGAACGATTCGTGTTGTCAGACCAAACCTCTGCAATCAGAAGCAAATCGTAGTCATCTTGAATCTGCCATGGTAGGAATTACAGCGTCGGCTAATCATATTTAATCTTTCTTACTTGCCCTTTGCTATTAATTATTTTCTTTTTTTCCTTCCTTGATTTATTTCGCCTTACTAACCTTATTCTTATTATCATTGTTATCATCTTTATTCATCTCAATAAACACCTGGTTTTCTTATTATGTCTGCATAAGTAGTACTATTAACTATCTTGTTTTGAATGACAATCTACGCCTAATCGATTCAGTTCTCACCCCTGTGTCAAGATTATTATTACTATTTGCCTACCTGCAATCTACTGTTATCCATACTCATAGGTAATCATGTAACCTATCACCAACCCACCCAGTTTCGAGCATCCATTTCTACCCATTACATTACCACTTAACCTGTAAAAACTGTTCACTTCTATGTTGTTACACCTGAATCGATGTCTAACTCCACGTTACATATACATATATGTATGTATTTTATTTTGTATTGTTTGAAGGTATATATAATCAAGTATGTAGAGTGAACGGCTGACGAGTACTGCTGAAATTTCTGAATTCATTAAATCCTACTTCTCTCACACATTCGTTGATTATTTTAAATTTGTATCGGGAAATAAATGTTTTCCATTAGTAGCCTTTTGTTGAGCAGCATTGATGAGCGTTCAACTTAGCTTAGTATACTACATCTCAAGTGAAAATCGTAATTTACTTGTGCAAATATTTTCAAGCAGTGAGTATGAAGACTGATGATTATATCAGTTTTATTCTGACATTTTTTACAGCTCTGTTTACTACCAGATCAGATTTTATGACATTTCATTGAATTTCAAAAAACTATCCAGATTTGAAGAATATCTACAAAATCTTCGCATCAGTAACATGTAACTAGATAATTTATTTTATAACTAATCGAAATAACCAAGTCAGCGGTATAGAGTGAGTTTGTTAAAATGTATTACTGAAGAATCAAGTCTCAGGTGAGCGAATCATTCAGAATTTGCTAGCTGAATTTAAATGTCAAGATATATGGTTTCTAAACTGTCTTGTTGTCTAGTAATGCATACTTACATCCAACAAGTAAGTGTTATGCTGAGAAATTAAAAATAACATCGAACTTCTAGACTACCTGAAAACGTAAGGTTATCAGTAGGCTTCAGGAATAACTTTCTGTTACATAAAGGAATTTCAAATGATTTGGGATAGAGAAAAAACTTATTTCTACTCTAAGACATCATGAAGTTAGGGATCTGGAAAATACTTTAGATTTATTGATGTCAAGTTGGTATTCATCATAGATTGACATCAGTTGGAGAACCATCATCAAACTGCCTCCAATCATAGATAGCGTAGGTTGTACAGACCGATGCAGATTAACTTTAAAGGCAGTAGGCTACTAAACACGAACATAAAATTCAACTGGAACAAGTTAATCTATTGGAGTTATCGGCCTTCAAAAAAATTAACATATAAATGTATGGACGCGTTGTTTACTGATGTAAAGGGCTAAAGACAACTTGAAGTCGACTAATCCTGAGATTCATCTCCATCTATTTAATATAGGAGAGGTTGAGAGTCTAGATAGAACAGTAAAATCAAGTAAGCCCATTCCTTTCACACAAAATAGCTTACATTTCTGCAGATGGACAATAGGAGGATTAAGTGTAAGTGTTCCGTCCTTTCATAGCCTAATCATCTGAATACACTCATCTGTATTTGTGTTTTCTATGTAACCTGGATTCTACTACTATTACTAAACACGCAAAAGACACTTATCAGTACAGTCTAGTGAAGTAGACGATGGGCATATTGAGAATTCACATCAATCATATTCAATTTCATATCCCATAAAATAATACTACACTGACTGTTTACAGATTCCTAAATAATTTTAAGCTACTTGGATTAAAAACTGCATGTAACTCACAGAAATTACATACAGATTCATACAGTGGGCAGTTAGCCATATCTGTTGCATAAGGCTTGGTTACACCACCTGAAAATGCATCGGTAGGTGGAGAAGAATATAAATCCATGACCCACTGCGATGATATTCGGTTGCCTAAACTAGTTACCTACAGACTTCGAAAAGCTGATGATTTTCGGAAAAAATTGATAAACTAAACGACGAACTAGACAGATTTAACATCTTACCTTAGGAATACTTGCCATTCAACAGCTGTAACCAGTTTCTTTTTGAGTCTGCCATTGTGTTGACTTTCGTTATACAATATCTTGCTATAATGTTATAATGTTTTTAACCTGACTGACTTTCTTATCACTAAACTTAACTTAACTGAGATGAAAAATAGAACTGTTACACTAAACGTCATTCACATATTCTTGTTTCCATCTCTACAGCTAGTTCTCCATCTCTTGACATCACTTCATCAACATTAGGTAAGGAAAGCAGCCTATTGGTGAGATATGTGATATTATTACACATACTTCTACAGGCTTTTCAAGTCAAACTCCAAAAGTACATGAATTCTTCAAATATGTAAATGAGGAATAACACGACAGATCTTTAGCACAACTGGTTATACTAACTATACTACTTAGTGATGACTTTTTAGTAGATTAAAATTTTTAAATCAAAATAGATCTTACCTGCTCCCTCTAGTCTTTTCTCAGGCATTAGTTTCGTTTGAAATTCTTTACTCAGATACAATGGATGGTAAAAGTCACCGACCAATGCTTTGATCACCTTTCCAACATCTCGTAAAGCTACTTTAGATGTCTATTTTGTTGTCGGTGTTATTGTCAATTGAACCAAGGAAATTCCATTCACATTTTTAAGGATGAAAAAAAAATAAATATACACAGAAAAGAAAACAATTTCAATAAGACTTCAAATGACAATTCCCTAAAAATAATTATATAGGGTAAACACAGAAAATATACTACTGTCTACTGAAAATGATAAAATAATATCATAGTTGAATTTTATTCAGAATCTACTACTTGCTTAAACCTAGATTACAACATTTATGCACCATATACGATATTCATTCTATACATCTGTCAGCTAAGGAACAATAAAAGTAATTTTGAATTCTATATGACAACATTGACATGCAACTACGACAACATATTGAATATTGAACAACATAATATTAAAACGCTAATTGATACTACTGAAACTTGGTGAAATTTAAGTGAATTTTAGTTATTGCATAGATAATGGTAAATCGCTTGGTTGTAAAATTCACATTATTGTTACAATACACGTTGTAAGTCCATAACAATATGACTGAAGGTAATATTTGTTTTACTAAGGAAGAGTTTATAGAAAAGTAAAGCTTTAAATACCCACAACAATTCTGTTATATTTCTTAAGCTGAATTCAGGACAAGTGTTTCGTCCTATATGGAACTTGTCAGCCGGATGTACCTGCATCCCAGTGAATGAAATTGACATCCAATGGAACTCGAAACCACCAGTTATGGCCTCAAACGCCAGAGCGTTATAGGAGCTATCTCTTATGCAATAAGTATCAATTTTTGCTTGATACTTGCAATCTCCCGTTGCTTTACTCAGTCGAATTGTTTTACCTGCGTCGATATATAGGCCCCTCTGTAGACGCTTCAATACTGCATGATTATTAATAATGTTTTAGTCGGCTTCTGTTATGGTTTATTCTGTTCGGCTAGCAATTTCAATTAATTTTATAATTGAAACACATACACATATGCACATTGGAATACATTGTCTGCTGGTTCATGAGACTCTTGAACAATGGATAAGCTTCTTGACAAGTAAAATGCAACAATTGAGCTAGAAACGCGGTACACCATAATATTAGGTCATTTCGACTACTTATCAAATTGCGGACAATGTTGATAACCCTAAGTGAACAGTAAACACTTGGAAGATGTACTATAAAAAGTTCAGTTTCTTCGGCGTAGACTGATGCTGCATGGAATCCTTGGAGAAATTCAGATTTCTAGAATTTTTTTGAATGAATCTTCTTGACGACCATTAGAAAACCACAAAGCTTGGATGGAAGAGATCTCCTCGCCTATTAATTCATTTCAGCTAACATCTCACTGTAGAATGCTATACTTTCTTGAAATGTCGTCTACTTCTAGCTTATTGACCAGTAACATGAGAATAACGTGGTCTGATATGTTGCAAGGGAGATATTATAAGCATCATTACTGGCTAATTGCTTGATTTCATAGAGTTACTTTTACCGGTTTCCGGTTAGGAATGTCTTAGACACAAATCTAGAATGGTACCTTGCAGTCTTAAACACCTAGATCACACACATTTACAAAACGTATCATGATAGATCGTAAATCTAAGGGTTCAAGTGAAATAACTAGACTGTATAACTGCTTTATTTCTAATATGCTTCCCAGTAAAGCTTTTTCCTCTCTGTTTACAATAACTATCGTCACTGATACCAACGAAGCTGGTAAGTTACGTATACGTGAACCACCTGAAATCTACAATCAAGCAACTTAGAAATGATTGGATCCAGACCAACTCTTTTTTTGTTTGTGGAAATCCAGTGTACAGTGGAAACACTTTATAAGGCAATGTTGATCTACTCCACTTGGAGCCTATAAATCAAATTTATGTGGAGGAAATGTAGACGTTATGCATGGTGTTCAAATGAAGTCAATGAGTAAAGAATTTCAGTCACAGTGATGAAACCACAGCCACATTCTATTTCTTCATCTAGACCTATATAACTTTATGACTACTTATCTTCAAGTTGACCGGGGCTATCTCAGATATTCATCTATTTTGAAGCCAAATTTAAATCAATCCTATTTCAAAGTATATTGAAGCAACTTCATGGAAGGTTTTAATAGGACTATTATTGACACAAAGTTTCTTGAAAAAGTACTACATTGTTATGCATATGCATATCTAAGAGCAATACAACCTCATATCTATGGTGTCTCATGGAAGACATCATCACCAACTGAACTGTAAATATATGTTAGTCACCGTGAGTCTTAGCTGGGTGTTTATTGACTCATTTTCTATCTTACTGAATATTGTTGTACATCTCTACTAAATCTAACTATTCTAACACATAGTAGCTAAGAACATAGAAACTGTTCGATTAAACGTTTTAAAAGGGTAACAGTTTTTGAAGTTCACAAGGCTTAATCAACTTCTCTCGGGAGTAATTAAGAGGAAAATAGATAGGAATCATGATTTCCAGCATGTTTTTAAAGAAAAAATAAACTAAATTTGAGCTGTATGACAAATGAAGTATTACTCTATCTTAAATCACCTATCAGATGCTTTCCATAGTGATAGTAGATAACTTTTCAAGTATAACTTAATGTTATTGTGTTATTGCTTGTATGACACCATCGTTGATTGGACCGAATTGATCAGTCTCTGTTGGCATATAGGCTTTTATGAGGATGCCTCTATATCGCCTGTCTTTTAACTATGTGTAGTAATGATGGGTAGTGGCTAGCAGCGGAATCTAGGATGCACATTTCATCCTAATTGCGACTCACTTGTCAGCTAGATGTACCTGCTTCCCAGTGAGTGATGTTGTTCCCACCGGGTGTAGTGGATAACGCTCTGGCGTTTGAAGAGATCACTCCTGAGTCTGAGTCCCATCATCACTATACATAACGTATTGTTGTTTATGGTACACAAGATTTTAATTTCTCGGATGTAAGTCTTGTGTCCCACTCGTTTTCCAGTTATGCTTCATTGGTCTAGTCAGCTGACTTTCAGTTAATTGTTTACAGGTTCAAACCTCCCCATTAAATCATTAAGGGTATTTTAAAGCATTTAGATAATAAGAATAACCGTCAAACAATAAGTGTGACTCATTGTTCGGTGCATAAACCTGCACATAAATGTTATCATACATTTATTTCTTATATTTCTCAATTTATGTGTTAGGAGAAATTATTTCTTGAGATTAAACATGAAAGTTGAAGTAAGCGCGTTTTGAAATTAGTAAAATGAGTTATCGCGCGTTAAATGTTCATTGGATGCTACTCTTTAAATATATAAAAGAGTTCATTTACATCTGATCACTGTTTTGCTGTCAGAAACATAGAAACAATGAAAGGATAAGTTTATAAGAGGTTAAATAACATTGAAAAGAAATTAATTTGAGTAATTTTTATTTATAATAATTAATCAACTAGTTAGCTTATAGATAACAACTGTTTAGTAGAGCGTAACTAGGCAACTAGGTGTACATGTATATAATAATGTATATTATTCCTAGTGTATGAAACCACGGTGAGTAAATGACACCAAAGGAAAACGGTAAAGCATTTGTCAATGCATATAAAAAACCGGATGTTCTAATGAATAACCTTCACTCAACCGTTGGTATAATCAAACCACATGTATGCATTATGGTATTGAAGCAAACAAGTTTAAAATATGCATCGTATGCCTTCTGTTCATTATAAGAGTTGCCGATTGTCCATAGGCGGTTCCAATCATTATTTCTTAACAGTACGACTATTTAAGTTTGATTTACTTTGCAGCGCACAGTGACTAGTAGGATGTACGCTTCATATATTCAAAAGCTACTCTGGTCAGTATAAAAGTTAAAAATGGACAGCGTGTTAAAGTATAATTCCATATTAGATTCGTTCATTTGATAAAACACGTAATGATACAGTATTATTTACTTTATGATGTTTCAAGCAGGATTTATTTCTCATAATCAGAATATTTGTAGCTCGGGTGGACGGTCTTGGTTGCATTGTGTTCTCTGAGCTGGGTTGTTTAGTCGTGAAGCTTTCATCGTCTTTCTCTTAGACGACATCATCAGCACTAACTTCACTATGAAGTGAGCTGTCAATATCTCTCGTGAGTGATTCAGCACCTTGCCCTGAAGATGTGGTCTGTGATTGGTTGTTTCCTTCGACTATTGTGTCATTGACTGTACAGCCTTTCCTGTTGACTGTTCCTCTGCTTGGCATTTGATCTTTCTGTCGTTTATCATCCTCCTCATTGTTTCGTTGATAGATTGGGTCTATGTTTATACATCTGTTGATTGCTGACTGACTAACTGACTGACTGACTGACTGACCTGAATGTCAAGCTTCTAGGAATTCCCTGATATTCTTTGTGTTTCCTCTGATTAAGTTTCGTTTATCAGAAGATGCCTATGCCGCACATCATCAACTACAAAGTCATCGATAGAAATCAACAAACACATCGTTCTACCACACATAAAGAATGCATCAGAAATCATGACAAGATTGCTGAGACCACTTGGAATTGCTGTGGCCACTCCAAACACTATTATGCAGAGCAAAGGATGCAACAACCAAAGAAGACAAACCAAATATCATTTACAAAATCAACTCCAATAACTGTAGTCAACACTATAATGGACAAAGTGATAGCCCTCTTCACCTTCGTCTACATGAGCGCCAATCTGCTATTGAACGTGATGACATTTCATCACTCATTTCAATGCATGAGGACAACCACTATGGACATGAATTCAATTTTGACAATGTGGAAATTTTGGAGGGAGAGAGGAACACAAAGAACATCAGAAAATTCCTAGAAGCTTGGCATTCAGATCAGTCAGTCAGTCAGTCAGCAATCAACAGATGTATAAACATAGACCCAACCTATTAACGAAATAATGAGGAGGATGATAAACGACAGAAAGATCAAATGCCAAGCAGAGGAACAGTCAACAGGAAAGGCTGTACAGTCAATGACACAATAGTCGAAGGAAACAACCAATCACAGACCACATCTTCAGGCAAGGTGCTGAATCACTCACGAGAGATATTGACAGCTCACTTCATAGTGAAGTTAGTGCTGATGATGTCGTCTAAGAGAAAGACGATGAAAGCTTCACGACTAAACAACCCAGCTCAGAGAACACAATACAACCAAGTCTGACAGTTTTTCAGATATCTGTAGTAAATGGTGAATCATTCTTGTTATATGCTGATTCAATGAACAAAGATTCTCTGATCAATCTCTCCCTTCACCCAGAGCTATACTGGATTTTAGAACTGTCACCTTACCCCACACCATAGTGTGATTATGGGTCAGTGCATCCACAGCGATAGCTGAGTTTTTCTCAAAACTACTTATCTTATTCGCGTCTACCATTGCAGGGTTTACTAGATTTTTGTGCTCTGCTATTCTGACCGACCCAAATCTACTCCTTTGACGTATCTACTTTTACCTTTCAATCATTACACGATATCTGATAGATGAGATTATTTTTCTTAATTGGCTCCATTGGATCTTTTAGCCTACAAAGTTTCTCTCTGAGCGAGTTTTTAGGTTCAAATGCCATCCAAATCCAAGCATTATCAGTACCACATAATAATCGTTAGGTCAAGTATATAAGTCAAACCAGTCAATAGATATCAGTCAAAAGAGTACAATTCTAAAATCCACTATAGCTCCAGATGGAAGGAGAGACTGGTCACAGAATCTGTGTTCATTGAACCAACATATAACAAGAAGGATTCACCACATATTCAAGATAATTGACAAGTTTTATTGCTTATAAAATGAAAGAATGAAAAAATTTGGTATAATTAGGAAGAATTAATTGTCCACGAAATGTCTGTCATTCAGTAAGCAATACTGTATCACTTATTGTATGCTATGTCAAATAAACAATCTAACAGGGAGTATATATATATATATATATATACGTATTAGTAATCTTCTAGTTGGTTGGATACATGCACTTGCTACAGTATTGTTCTGATGAGTGTTGAACGGAAAAATTAGAAGAAACTGAATGCTAAGAACACATATATATATATATATATACGTATATATACATATACTAATAGAAAAAAACAGAAAATGTGGGACACAATTTAAGCTACATAAAATATCATCACTACCATTCTCTCGTTACCTTGTTTTCTTTAGATACAGTTCTGCCTAGTTTCTAAAACATATTATAATTAAGCAAGTTGGTATAAAGTAAATAATTTTATACAGTAACAACGAATTGGTTGGAAGTTCATGTCTACACTAGTTAGGATTATCAAAGCTCAGAAAAATTTAAACAAGCTATTTTCATCTTCCGTTTTGAGTTGAGCACACATTATACCCGTTTTATAGATGATCAGGTGACTTGTTGATTCCTTCTTTCTATGAACTGTCGTTTATTTATCTTAAGAATAAAAGAGTTTAGCTGATCGCAGCTAGAGTGTAACACATTAATTTATCTCGTGTGACTATGACTTCCTGTTGATATCTATGCATACCAGAATTTGAATAAGAAAGTAGTAGTCGTCTCAGCAGTTTATCGCAGCAATTCTTGTAAAACAAAATCTTTACTAGTAATCCTAAAACCATACCTTTTATTCCTTTTATGAAATGATGAATATGTGTGGAAAATGTGGTTCTAACAACTACGAAGACATCACTGATGATTGAATTTATGTGTATAGTTGACCTGTTTAGTTGTTACTGTTGATTGATTGTACCCACTCATTGTGTGCACCATCAGCGTGGATGTTTCCAAAAAACTTTTGTTGTATTGTCATCGCCTGGATGTGTATTTCTTGAGCTACCACTGTCTATTTGGAGTAAAAGAGACCACTACACTCAAATTAAAGTTGAGATAGGTACTGATGGACTACGATAATCAAAATTCGTTGTATTATTACCGAAGCACTATACCATTCATTTGCATTGGTTCAGAGGATACTTATATTTTCGGTTACCTTGACCCTAATATTCATTCGTATGTCCATGACTCTACACTGTATATAAACATTTCCTCTGTATGCATATGTATTCCCTTGTGAATTGCCTGCCAACAATTCCTTCTGATGTAGGATTTGGAAAGTGACTTGCTAGCTGCAAACACATGAAATGCAACATCTCCGTTTGATGAAAACTACTGTTAAGGGTGTATTAATGACTGAGATATTCAAAGCATTATATCACTGGAAAATATGTAAATAATAACATGATATGAATCTATTTGAATCCTCCTTGAGTTTTTCAAGAAATTATTTACCGAAACAATTTACATGTTTGTATGTTTGTTCATCATTGAGACAGTGTATGATAAATTAACTACATTACACATGGTGGTCAAATTAGGTTTCTATTGAAACAAATAGTGAGAGATGAAAGAACGAAATTGAGTGGAAAATCTCAGTATATCTTGTTTGCTTACAGATAGCAGACTTAATTTATTGTATAATAAATCATCCCTTCCGTAAAGTAGCGAGACTTCAATATGAATACAGAAAAGTTACATTTGTTTCACTTTACTCAACTTCAGTTGTAGTACAGAATATTGTGAATTGATCTGAGATAGGCTTAAAATGGTGTGGATAGTTATCAGTGCGATTAAATAGCTTGATCGCAAGTTATGAACGTGCAACAGGTTTTGATTCGTACATTGTTTCATTGCAAGCCAGCACAAAAGAAAATTTGTTATCATGCCAAACGTTTAATATCTGCGGGATAGCAATACTGGACAGTGATGTAGCAGGGTATAGGCTTCCTGGCTGGAATTGTGGAAATGACAGGAGTCAGCAGTTAAAGACTCGAAACTGGTCACAATGGAGCAGATGTATACATCGTTGGCCATCTAACATTCTAACGATTGATAGTGGTTAGCAAATGGAATCCAGGACGCATGTTCCGTCCTATTTAGGACTCGTCAGCTGGATGTGTCTGCTCAGTGGTTTAGTGGATTACGCTTTGGCGTTCAAAGAGATCGATCCTAAGTTCGAGCCCCGGTTTAACAGCACGCACTGGAACGCAAGTACACTCAGCTGATGAGTCCTAAATAGGACGAAGCGCGCGTATTGGATCCCACTGCTAACCACTATCGATCGTTAATGAGTAATTCGCATATGGGCACTATCGAGGAATTCTCACAGGAGCTCTTATGCCAATGAAGACCTATCAATCCAGTCCATTCAGCGGTGGGATAAAACAAGCAACAACATGTAACGTGTTGAATATTTTCCTATTATTGATCTGTTTATTCTGTTACCCTTTATCCACTTCATTCAACTTCTACGTCATTCATCTTCTATCCAGGTTTTGTCCACTGGCTGCGGTAAAATGAGCTAACTTGACCTGGTACACACCATAGCCATATTCTATCTTGACTGGCCCGTCTGACTTTAGGATGGTTAGCTTTGCTAAGCAACATCGAATTTTCAATGTTTCAGTAGTGCTCGTCTTCAGAGTGATTGGATTTACTACGACTGGTCGAATGACTTCTAAATTGAAAATTTTCGACTAAACGAAACAAAAAGTGATTAGAATTTTCTCAGGATTTGAGTTCTTGTCTTCAAATAGTTAGTTAGTGCTTCAGCCACATACAAGAGGTAAAATTATAAAACTTAGAAGTGGTTCAACTAAAGTCTTTAGATTGCTTTGAAGGAAGAATCACGAGAAGCTAAGTGATAAAATACCATGAGATGTTCATGGTTATAGGACACTGTTGTCATATGTTCACCTTTTGAAAATGGGAGCTGGTAAGGTCTAATAACTCGCTTCCCGAGGACTTTCTTAGAACACATATATGATAAGCTCCACAGCAGCTTGAAAGCATCACTTATATGGTCTAGTTTAACAATACTGAGTTGTCTGAAGATAAAATGCTAATTCATGAACAGCTGCATCCGCCGACTGCGAAGTGATTGAAAACACAGGTGTGGAAACTTTGTTTCTGTCCACTTGATCTGTTCATGATAGGCATAGCTCACTGGTCTTCACGGAAGGTATACATTGCCTGAGCTGTCCGCTCTACTTGCTCGATATTATGATTAGGAATGTTTTCATAAAAGCTCGATACCTTTTGTGAATAATTCATAGTCACTCGTGTCATATGTTAGCGCAAATACAGGAGTTGTGGCTCGTTGTTTTAGGGAGCTGAATCTCGATTCCTGAGTCGCGCATTCGACCATCGCCTGTGTGGCTCATCAGTTTACTGCATGAATGCATACCAGGTTGCTAAGTGAATTTGGATAAAGCCACGAAGATCATACCTGTGGTTATAACTGAATGAATTCTCAGTAAAACTCAAGAGACAAACAATTTTCATTGAGTCTACCTGTTTTTTAAAACAAACTGATGAAAGTAACACATCGAATAATAAACACTAAGTGTATCGAATCTAATCTGAAGTACTATTGATAGCATTTTCTAAGTGATTTTACCAATGAGTAAACCTCATAGCCCAATGAGAAGGCAGCTTATATAGGCAGATATTCTTTAACATGTGTATAAATCAATCAGGTATGTACATCCGTACATTACTTTGTAAGTATGCACGAATAATCGTTTAACTGCTATTCAATCCTATTTATTTAGATTTACACATCAGTAATCGATAGGAAAATTCAGTGAGAGCAATGAAAATCACTCAGGTGTGAATACATAACTTTATGAAAACAAATTCCCACTTATATATACATACACTTGGTTCTTATCTGTCCAAAATTACTGATGCATTTACAAATTGCTATTACAATTCCTTGTCGTTATTTTATTTTTCCTTCGGGAGGATAAGTGTTGAGGTGGAGGAAGGTGAAGTATTGAAGAAAGTGCCTAAATTTGCTTCAAAATGTTACTTATTTCAATTGTCAAGAATCGATTTCAGCAAATGACGGTGAAAGTTTTCAAGAATCATGGCAGACCAAGGGCTAAGTGTGTATTTTCGTCAAACTTCAAATATTCACTGAATAAGCCTTGAAACGCTTGGAATAAGTATTTTCCAGTTTGGTTTCAAATCTATAAATCGTACCATGTTTTATGTTATGTTGTTGAAAAATAATGTTTTCCAAGCTTCTAAAAACAGTCACTTCATAATAGATCGCAACGAGTTTAAAAGTCCCAAAAAGGAATGAAAAGTTAGGTGTACTTAAGCTCCAGTAATTGACTATGTTGCCGGTTAGCAGGATGTACTAGCATCTTGGGTAACACCTGGCTCTTTAGCACAAACTATGCTATGTTCGAGACACATGAGCTGATGAGTCTCAAATAGGCCAAAACACAAGTCTTTGATCCCACTACCAGTCACTGTTAACTGAAGAACGTCACTTTTATGAACATGTACTTTGGGTTCCTTATTACAGGTATTGGTGAAGGTCACTGGATCATTCAACTTGAAGCACACTTATCTAGGCACGTGAATTAAAACCATCAGGTCATAACCTACACGTTTACTCGATCCACTGAGTTTAAGTCATAGATCTTGTGCGTAGCTATTGAGTTTCGCTAATGCATGCACTACACTAGGTATTAACTAGAAGAGATGTTTTGTGTCAAATAGTTTGACTATCAGATCTTACGGTGCATCCTATTGCAGTTGCAATACACTAGAACCACATGAGTGAAAGATTTGTATGAACCTGCCGATACAGTGACAAAATTAAGGAAATGTGGCACACTAGATTCCAACCAAGTGACTGAATGATAAACTGCTCTCAATGACAGCTGAAGATTCTGGGTTCGACCCCGGAGGGGCTGCGGGTAAACACTTCTATGGAGTCCCATGCAAGAACGAAATAGATGTTTTGTGTTACCTTAATGAATCTCCAACTAATGTTTGTTCGTGATGAACATCATCTGAAATCCATCAATGTCCATAGACCTCTTAACGGAAACTGGTAATATCCACATCATAGTTATTAAGAATGTTCTGGGAGAAATTGAGCTCAATTACGATCTAATCATTATAAAAAATAATTTTTATCATCTAGACAATCTGTAGAAAACGCTGCTGCGTATATCGAGGAAATTTAAGGAAAATAATTTTTTCATATTCCAAACTGCTGACCAGGTCTTAGCCTTACTTTAGTCACCGAGGGTTTTCCGCCGCCTGCCATGTGAACCCATGAAATGCAACTATACACTCACCACAGTCATACCGCTTTCCAGTTAAACAGGAAAAACTGCATTAATTATGAAAAAGAGATGGATGTATAAATTAAGCTTTAGTTCTTGATAAGAAGTTAGAATACCCTAGTCAACTGAAGATGAATTATACCATGACATAGTTACTGAAGATGCATTCAGTTCAGTACCAGGCTAGTGAGTTGAAGCCCACGATTGTGCGGGACCAACACATACAGTACTCAGTCAAAATGCGTAGAAATGAGACATCATCATAAGTAAATCCATCAAATTTGTTGATAGGCAGTTGTAGAAATTGTGAACAGCATTTAGGACTTGGAGTTTAGTTGTTCAGAATGAGTTGTTTTCTGAACTGTAGTTTTAGTTGGCGAACGTTTCAGTTTCATGTTGGACATCGTTATGAGGGCATCAGCACTTGACAACGAAGTGAAGCATTGATAAAGATGTCTATTATGGCACTGAAAAACTTGCAGAGTAAAGCATCGTCTTGGAGAACAGCTGATTTTGGACAAACAAAGTCAGATTTTTGATTCGACGTAAGACAAAACCCCACAACTTCAAAATTAAACTAGTGAAAAGTGTCAATGATTATGAATGAATACGAGTGATTTTCAGTAGTATATAATATGATATCAGAAAACACAAGAAATAGTAACGACTGAGTGAGAAAGAGGGTAAAATACAGAATGTCAAATGTGGAGAACAAGAAACGTTTGCACTGGAACCAGAAAATGAGAATTCCTGATAACTTGAGGTAACTGAAGGTTGATTTCTGACAGTAGAGTAAACAAGGACCACTTAATTTCATCGAAGTCGTTGTAATTTCTCAATTACTTCTGAAAATTTAATCCATTTAAGCAATTGTAACACGTTAAGAATGGATCGTGGCTAGCTTTGGAATCCAGGATGCGCATTTCGTCTTATTTGGGACTCCTCATATAAAAACCTTTATACTAAAACTATACTCATCGCACAAGAAGTGGCTATGGTGGCTCGGTAGTGTAGTGGATTACGCGCTGGCGTTTGAAGCGATCGCTCCCGAGTCCGAATGCCGGTGGGAACAACACTTACTGGGAAGCAGGTACATCCAGCTGACTAGTGAGTCACAAATAAGACGACATGCGCATCCTGGAATCCACTGCGAGCCACGATCCATCCTTAACATAATCAGATTGCTGGCAATATCGAGGCATCCACACAGGAGCCCATGTGCTAATAGAGAGCAATCAATTCGATCCAATCAACGACGGTATCATATAAAAACCCTTATACTAATTGTAACACATCTTGAAGTTTCTAAATTCTATCCACCTCATAAAGACGTTTCAGCGACTTTTCGTATGGTTGTAAAAAAAATATACTGTTGGTTAAGTGTAGACTAAATCCTAATGCGATATCAAAAATTCATAGTTTCCGCTTCAAACGATTTTGAATTCCTAGAAAGCAGACAGACTATAAATTCACTAATCAGTAAATTTTGCTTATGTAATCGTCACCGAATGGATTTTCTCACGTACAAATAAAGACCACCACGAACTTTAGTAGTGATAGCCTAAATTGACCCTATCAAACAGTGTGTAGTCAATAACCCGATGCTTTCAAAAGATAACCTCTGTCTACAGAGGACAAGTATTCCGATTTCTGTTGCAATCTACTACTAAATATCCTTGAAACAGTGTTACAAATGTGTTAGTAAAACAGAAAAAATTAATCAAAAAACATTTTCAAATAATTGACCTTAACAATAATAAATTAACTTACTCGATGTGATCTATTGTACTCCCACATTTTATTAAAAATAGCCACCTTCGAATTCTAAAATATTTTATAAAGATTAATTATATATTGAGGAATAAATAGAATTACCAGATTTTTTAGTTGATCCGTGTAGAGTTTTTCAAGCATATAAACTGTAAGAAATTCCTCTAGGCTAAAACCTTGTTCTAAGAATAACTTGACAAAATCGTGTCTATCACTCATCAGTGCTTGGTACATATAGTCGTTTAATTGACCTTTCTAGAAGAAAACGTAAGAAAATGAAACATATAGATAAAATGTCGATTAAACAGATGATTGGATGTGATTCAAGAGACTAGTGAAAGCTTGATAGTCATGAGCACCTATTTTTTCCTTTTTTGGACGTCATCAGTAATACACAACTAAAAAACTACTGTTTTGTGTATGCATTTATACTCTGAGGCTACCAGTTTGATCAGTTAAGAAAGTAACTTTCATCAATATCCCATGTGTACTAGAAGGATAATAGGAAATTGGAATACACAGAGATGAATGAAAATCTATAGATAATCGCGGTAGTATTGGGATTAGTGGCCCTGGTTACTACTGACTGATGTAATAGACTAAATAATTTCTCATGCCTTTTCTTCGCTTTATCAAGCAAGAATCCATTTGGATGTCATGTGAATAAATGATAGGTAACTTTCTGAGATGATCCTATCGAGAATGAATTCCACGTTCCCTCTTCTCTGAAGCAGCTCGGTTAGAATCAGTACCAGAAGACCTGGCTGGGTAATTTGTATGATAAAGATGCACTGACAAGCACGTATCTTGCAGTCATATGACAGACGGGTTAACTAGTGTCCTTGCTGACACCCAGCCAGTCAGTTAAATGGAGCTAGTTGGAACTCAGCCATAACCCCGAAACTTCATTTCGACTTCTCTAATAACCCTATACATGAATGCTAATCTGTCAAATCATATCTCATACAGTTATATCAATATTACTAAGTTCTAATGTAAAAACTAATCAGCTTTCCGGAAAAATGTACGGTACTGGTGTCTGTCATAACTTATTTTCAGCTAAGAAATATCCCATCCAAAAGTGTATTCATAAACTAGTTCACCGAAATCTTGGAGAATTCTTCTGAAATTGGAAGTGGCAGTAACGTAATGAAGTAAACTTACTCGGCTTCATGAAGGTTGACATGCACACTAGGCTATGTGAAAGTTTGGTTCAGATGAACGTTTGAACATCAAGTTGTGAACTACATCATTAATTTCAACCTCTTCCCTGATGTTAACCCAGAATGAAGAATGGTTCTTCTGTGTGGTTGCCAGTAGTGAAATTCAGGAGATGTGTTCACTCTTTTTCTGGATACACCTCAACCCCAGTCACTGTTGGTGTCCCCACTGAAATTCGAGCCGATCACCCATTACTCCAAATACCAGAGCATTATCAGTTATGCTAGTGACTTACAAGATGCACTCTTTGTGTAACTGGAGTATGTCATTATACTCGTAGAAAATCAGTCTCAGTCGAGCAATCTTAAACATGCCAACGGTTTGAAGCCAGTTGAAATAGAAAGTAAATTTCCGAATAATCCAGAAAAAATATGTATTCAATCACTCTCATGTTAATCTTTCGAAAATTCAAATGCAAGCCCTATCTCTGGACCCAAAGTTCTACAGCAGTACATCCAAGGTTAACAGACTGCATACCCAAGTACAATTTGAAAATTTAATCCGTCAGACTGTTGGTCCTATGCCTACATCGCCACAGCATTTCAAGTCCACTATTCTTAACTGTTGTCATCAATTTACCAACTCCAAAATAAGTTCTAGCTCTTTATTGACTAAGGACCATATACAACAGCTAAAATTAATCAAACATAACAGTGATATTATCATAAGCCGTCCTGATAAGGGAGGAGGCATTGTCCTAATGAATCGTCAGGAGTATACTGATAAACTTTACGTAATCCTCTCTGATCCCACTGAGTTTACAAAACCCGAAGGTAGGCCAATAAGACATATATAATTTAAACACAACTCACAAATGTCTTAAAAAGCATGAGGGATAAATCAATAATTGGCCTCGATTTATATGAACGTATCCGACCAGTTGGCTCTATAATCCCACGCCTATATGGACTATCGAAGATACATAAAGCGGGATTACCTCTTCGTCCGATCCTCGATATAGCTGGTTCTCCTTATCACGGAACTGCTCAGTGGTTAGCTGAAATTCTGGAACCTGTTGGGAGGCATATGTCGAGTTTTTCTATCCGTGATACATTTCAGTTTGTTGAGAGTATTAAGGATTTTAATGCTCTAAACAAGATGATGTTTTCATTAGACGTCACTTCATTGTTCACGAGTGTGCCACTCACCAAGACTGTCTGTTATGTATGTGACTATATTGATGCACATAATTTAGACGTAGGACTACCAACGAGCTGCTTGAAAGAGCTTTTGTTGAGGTGCACATTTAATGTCCAATTCAGTTTCAATAATGAAATCTATAGACAGAAAGATGGGATTGCGATGGGGTCACCATTGGGACCACTGCTAGCAGATTTCTTCATGTCGAAACTAGGAAATTCACAACTTCGTCAAACTATTGATAGCTTTGACTTTTATAGAAGATATATGGGTGACACGTTTGTTATTTGCGACAAAAATGTAGACCTAGGCGATGCGCTTCGTTCATTCAATGAATGTCATCAAGCCCTCAAGTCTACTATAGAGAAGGAATCAGAATCAACTATTCCTTTTCTTGATGTGCTTCTCACCCGACGTCAGAATGGATACCTTAAAAGATCCATCTACAGAAAACCAACGTGGAACGGACAACTAACTAATTTTTATAGTTGGGTGCCCATCAACAGAAAAAGAAATCTTATTCACTCTCTTTGCTATCGAATAAGAAATATCTGTAGTGACGATTGTATCGATGAAGAGCTATCTTTTTAAAAAGCATACTTGTCGAAAACGGTTACCCTAGCCGTTTTATTGATAAAACTATGCTAGAAAGAAACACTAAACCGGTCATCCACTCGGTCTCAAAGATAAGATTGTCTATGAGCCTAGAGTTTAAAGGTGACCTAGCATCGGATGTACTGAAGAATCGTCTTACCAGATCAATCAATAGGACTTTCTTCGCGAAAGGACTTCAGTCGACTTTTACCAGCCGCAACCTATTCTCCGTCTGCGTTACAGACAAGCTTCCTCGTTTGCCACCTCTATGTGCATCTACCAGTTCACCTGCTCTTGTGAAGCAAGGTACATCGGCCGTAGCCACAGAATGCTTTCTACATGTATACGAGAACATGTTCCTGCTAGGTTTTATAAAGGTGAAAGAAAGTCTGTTAGAAGTTCGATTCTACAACATTTGATTGACTTCCATCACACAACAAATCCAGACAATGACTTTAAAATTATTTATCAAATTCGCCCAAACCTCCCACGTCCTCTCCGTTTTCAACTCCTTAAAACAGCGGAGGCTTTAGCTATTCATGAACTAAGACCTGATGTGCGTGTACAAAAGAAGTATGTGCAGTCACTGTCTTCATCATGGCCACCCCATTAGCTCCCTCCCCAAACTTTGTTAATTTAACCTTTGTATCATGCCTTTATCACTATCTCAAGTTGTTATTCATCGAAGACTGACATCGCTTGGAGGAACAAAGGAATCCTGGGAGCACTGGACAGCTGTTTCGTCCTAGTACGGTACTCCTCAGCAGTGCGCACCCACGACCCCACCAGCAGGGATCGAACCCGAGACCTTCAGGTTCCGGGGCCAGCGCGTTACCATTGAGCCACTAGGTCAGAATCCAGTGGTTCATATTTCCAACTTCTGTTAGCTCACGATATAGCGCAAATCTCCAAATCTCCACAACCCCCTCGAAAATTTATCACTATTGTTGTTATTATAATCGCCTTCACTTTAACTAGTTTCCGGTGTTGTTTCACTTAATTGTCTTAATCCTTCTAGAAAACATTGACTTCATCTTGTCCAGCTTGTCTGATGCCATTACATAATACTTAACTGATTTACCATTTTCAACAATTTTTTCACTCCCCTATGAGTTATATACTTTCTATGAACCATTCCACATATTACATAATCTAATCATTCGCACTTCAATTGTTATTATAATCACAAATGCCTATGTCATCATCCGCTCTAGTATTATTGTCATCACCATATAGTGTTTAGTTTTCCTCACGGGATTTAATTTTTCCCAAATATCATATATATATGCGATTGTACAGCTTGAAAATAAATTCTTTGAAAAGAGTCTCTTCGCTGAATATCTTGTTCTTAAAATTTGATTGGTTTGTACTGAACTGATAGGCCTCTTTTGACAGATGGGCTTCTGTGATCACTTCTCAATTGTGCTTCAAGATTTATTATCACGTAATATTGTAGGTATGGGCAGTGGGTTAGCGTTTCAGTGGGAACACTTTGACTGACTAGCTAAATTAGGGTAACGAGACTCAAATAGGACAAAAAGCACGTAGTGGGTTACACTACCAGTCACTCACAAGCACATCATATGATAGATAATCTTCATATAAAACTCAGACTCCCATACAAGAGCCAGTATACCAAGAGAGGTGAATCAGCGCAGTCTCAAACAATCAACCACGGGGATTCTCAAACCCCTATATGACTTTTTCTACCTTAAACAGTAATACGATGGAAGTTGGCTGGTTCGTTGTTAGTAAAATTGAATTCATTCATGAGACTAGATAAGGCAGCCACGGTTTGGCAGACAGACGTTACTGATATCGAATGATGACTTAAGGTGAGATGAAAATGAGGGTCACTTGATGTTCTACCTACTAGGATACGAAACTCTTTCTAGAAAACATCTCGAATTCACTTTGCTGGAATACTGCGTCAACAGCATTCCAACTAAGTGACTTGAAAAATGTGACAGACACCTGCTAACTGGAATTTAGATCACTCCTCATATTGTCTCATTTGTCGCGAGTAAAGCACTCAGAAGACATCTCTCAAAAGTCTTCTAAAAGCATGAATAGCAAAACTCAATTGGAAAATGATCATATCTCCATAAGTTGCTTAGAAAATAATCACGTTCATGGTGAGCTGGACTAGACGTTCACCTTCTATTTTGCAGTGAATGATGTCTAGAATTTCTCAAAATTCTTTGAATATTTGCTCATGAAATGCTTAATACTTCTATGGGATATTACGACAATGGGTAAATTAAACAGCTATTGTGATACTTCTCAAACTCTCGTTATTGGAACCGTGAATAGCCACTTTAGTCAATACATAAGTCTCCTGATTTGTGGGCCTCGATTATCATATGGGAAATTTATTTCGATATTAATGGGGATTTCAACTTTATGGTGGGATTCATCATGGACTGACACCACTTGTTGAGCCATTGAACATCTGGGAGCAATGAAAGGCTGTTTAGTTCTAGTATGGGACTCCTCAACAGTGCGCACCCATGACCTGGTTATGGATCAAACTCAGGATCTATCAATGGTTCTCCAACTGACACCAGTTGGTGATAAATACTACCTCAAAATTCAAATCCCCACTAACCTCAAGATACATTACTATATAATGCCGTATAGCGAAATGCTTCCAGATGAATATCCCGAAGTTCTAATAACAAGCCATTACCTTTAAGGTCAACCAAACTGAAGGGAATTGGGTGCAAACTGAAGACCTTCGGTGATAGTTGCGCTATTTCGCGAATTGATAGAATTAAAAACCGTGAACCACTGAACTCGAATTCAGTGACTGAATTGTTAAAGCTTTCTCCTGAAGACCTGAGGATCCTGAATTAGGTCCCTAGCAAGGTCGTGGATGCAAACTGCTAAGGAGTCCCACACTGAAATGGAACAGATGTCCGTTGCCATCGGGTTTTCATGGGGTTCTGCGGTTGATATCAGTCCGTGTTGAATACTACCTCACTGCACGAAGAAATCACTTGATATCCCATCCTCTCAGCTCTCAAGTTCCCTCAGATTTAATGTTCCATCGTTTCCCGTATGATAAAAGGGGCTCATGTTTTCTTATTTCCTGATAGACCTGCAATTCACTGTCGTTAAACTGGATCGAATTGGTCGACTTCTGTTAGCATTTTGAGCTCCTATGCGGATGGCACTATATTGCTGGAATATTCATTGTTGTAACTTGCTTCGTAGTGGCTAGCACTGAAGTCCAAAACGCTCATTTGGGGACTTGTCGGCTGGATGTGTCTCTTCAAACCTCCTGGATTCTACTGTTAGGCACGACTAACCGGATTAAAACTATCAATATTCAGTCAATATCTGGCCATTCTGATATGAGCCCAGCTGCCGACAAAGGTCAACCAATTCAATCCAGCATGACAACAGAGGACTAAAAGTACCAACAAACAGTAATAACTCATACCCGTTGCATAACAGGTGACCATCGTGCTTCAGTGGCTTGATCGATAAAGCTTCGACATTTGAAACGATGGGCACGGGGTTTTGAGTTTCCGTAAGAACAACATCTCCCATTAGGGTGCAGGCACATCAACCTGACGAGTCTCAAATGGGACGAATCATGCCTCCTAGGTATCATTGCTAGCCACCATCAGGGCACTAGCACCTTGTGTATCAATATCCATGCTTTTTTATCAACAGTTTTCTGCCAAATGCAAAGTGAGAACGGTTTTTTCTTCAGAGTTAAATCAGTGGAGTATAAGACAATGATGAACTTGAAGTGAAATGAGTGAAATAACCCACCGGTGTTGAGATCATCTGAATATGGCTAGCTAACTTGCTTGGAGGATCTACAATTACTCCTGTGAGTCAGTAGTATACTTCTGATGTATAAATCCCTTTTACATTTCCTCATTCCTTATACACTGTCACTGAAAGTCTCCATCAGTGTAACTAGAATATATTGTGCACTCTCAACCTCTAACTTCTTTCGCAAAGAATATTGATGATACTTATAGAGTGAAGTAATGTACCCCTGCGATGAGTCAAGTTAGGGTAGCTCACTAAGAAGTTTGAAGTCTCTTATGTTAGCTTATAAACAAGATAACAAACTGTGACAACGGTGTTCATAGTGAAACAGATGTTCAAGCATGTAGTTAGTAGTCAATAATTCGTCTACTACTATAGCATTTCCATTTCATTCATTCTCCCTAACATCTAATCATTAACATTAAGCCACTCTTTCATGTGTCTAATTTGATGTCATTCGATTGAAGTTAGTCATCAAAAAGCCCTAGACCCAGGTTGTATGTTCGTTGTTGCCTTTCAGCAAGATCTGTCTGCAACTTTCAGGAACTTGATGTCCTCTGAAATATTTGCACTCAAATCGGCTAGTTCTGCAACTACAGATGTTATCGTTGAGCTACTCAGCCCAGAAATGACCTCATTCAAGACTGACTAGTCACTGGAGAGCAGCCAATTTTACACTGTACATTTCTAAGTGTTGGCCAAATTCCACCGATCATTTCTGCTTTCCACTTTGTTCCCCAAGTGAGGAAGCTCATCATCGTGGCGTACTTTGATTGATGCTATTCAGAAGGAGATAATCAGCAGCCAGCCCCAGGTCTAGGTTTTATGCTTACTGGCGCTTATCAACAAGATCCACCTGAGACATCGAGGGAAGTGATATTCTCTCAGTGGTTCTAACTAGCATCACCCAGTGCCACAGTGAAAGGTATGACCAATGAACTATTCGGTCAACACTTAAGGTTTGAGCGGTTGACCAAGGAGAACTAGATTCACACACAGGTACTACTGAAAAGAAACTAATGACATTCTAAAAGTAATTTAGTAGAATTCAGCTCATGGTATCAAAAGGAACGCATTAGACCTGTGAAAACTCAGATACTAGTTAACAGTCATGCCTGTAAAATCAGAAACCACTCGAGAACATATATTGTCGATTACCTTCTGCCAATTTTTATTTCAAAGAAAACACAAACAAAGTTCTAGCCTATTCGAATGCTTTTTCAATTTGATCTGGAGCGATTTTAGAGGCCAGCTAAGCAACTGCCAAAGTAACCAATCAGCTTGCAGTTGTTTGACTGGGCAGATTATTTTTCATAGAACGGAGAAAAGTGATTGGTTGTTTCATCAGTCACCCTTGATCTGAGTGACTCTAAAGGTCAGCCTAGAAACTACTGAACATACCAATCAGGATTTGGTATTTCGCCTGGGAAACTACTTTTTCATAAAATAAAAGGATGTAGTCGGCTGTCTCATCAGGTAACCTTTAAAAATACCAGTTGATCGAAATCACGAACTAGTCTCTTATGAGTTGAATTTACTTATTCAGCCTCCTTATCTAACGGTAACCAACCGAAGTCATTGTCCAGGACGCAGTATCTGATTCTTTGCATAACTGACGTTCCCATAATCTTTTCTTGTACATTTAGTACATGCTGGTCAAGACGGATGTGAACCGTTCTTTTCTTCAGTAGATCATCGACAGTTTATCAAGGTAATTGACCACTGATTATCACGTACATTGAACATGGAGACCAGATATGGGCAATAAATAGATCCGAACTCTTGTCCAAAATGCGAACCAATTAGAGTACAGGATTTTGAAGTTAACTGCATCATAAGTGGAGTTCTAAACTGTTATAATTCTGTGATCGTGATATCCTATATTCATATGTCAGTTTTAAAATAACCTTTTTTAGAAAACTTTTCAGGTTTTCCGAATACAACAGATCATTTCCGACAGACGAATACTGTGGCTTACTTTCTGTGTACTCCCTACATGGTAGCATTTCTTCGAGTTCAGTTATTACTACTGACCGATAGTGGCATACGAAGTTAGCGCCAAATATGTGAAAAGTTAGGCACATTGTTAAAGAGGTACTGGAATCCTGAAGAAGACTAGTTTGAAACTGTTCCACTGGTTGGTAAGCTATAACTGTTTGTGACATCACTTGTCTAAGGACTACCAAAGGACAACTGAAGCCATGACCAGTTAAGCAAGGCTGCGGCCAAAAAACGACTTACTGGATAAGAGACCCTATAGCACTTGGTACTGGGATAGCAAATGGATACTGTGACAAAAAGTAAATAATTTCCGAAAACTTACTTTCCATTTTTTATTTTCTAGAAATATTTTTTCACGTGCAATATCTGCACGATTCAGAGTTAGCGTGATTTCCAACTGTTCCAAATTAATCTGATCCGATGCAACCGTTGAACCAGCTGTAAAACAATGTAAATACATGCTCAAAGTTATGCTCTATCTAATTATTATTGTTATTTGTCCCTTGGGTTCCTAGTGGAATATACTGCTTCAGTAGCACCTCTCCACTCCACCCTGCTATTCTCTGCAGTCTTTTGAAACGCGCTCCACGACTGCCCACAAGCTCTCATTTCTTCCTCACACACCATCTCCTCCATGTCGACCTCGCCTCGGACGCCCAACTCATCGTTTCCCCCTTTGGATTCCACTCGACGGCCTGGCACGTGATGTCCCCAGTTGACATCCTCAGTGCATACCTAATCCATCTCCACTTTTTTCTACTGAAGATTTGTTGGGTGATAGGTTCTTGGTTGGTTTGTTGCAAGGCCAGAGTTCTTTGTTGCTTATTCTTATTATTCTGGCCATCTGAGCTTCAGTGTCAGTAACGAGCCAGCTTAGGCAGTTGTTGATGAATGTCTGTAGTTTGTTGGAAATCCCTTTCGTGACGCGCCAAGTCTCTGAACCACCACACAGAAGCACTGACTTGACTGAGATTAGTGTTTAAAATCGGGATTTTGTTCTTTATGCTGAGTGCAGAAGATCTCCACACTGGTTTCAGGCTAATGAACACCAGTCTCGCTTTTCTAATCCTGAATTTGACTTCCTCATTTGTGCTACCACTTGTAGTTGAAACAGTGCTGCCTAGATAGTTGAGAGAGGCTACTTCCTTTAAGTTTCTCCCGTTGATGGTGATTGGAGCTTGTTGTTATTGTTGGAGTTGTTGGTGCGGTGTCTTCATCACCTCTGCCTTCTCTAAGTTCACCTGAAGTCCCTTTTTCGCTGTCTCTTCTGTCAACCTGTTAGTTTTTGCCTGTGGATCTTCAAGTTTGTGCGACATAAGACATAAGTCATCGGCGAAATCCAAATCTTCTAGGTTCTTTTCCGCGGTCCAGCGCTTCTTGACCCATGGTAAGTTCTCCTCCTGTGTTGTCCGCTCCCAGTTTGACATTCATGCCGCCCATTAGAATTTTGATGTCACCAACTGAGGTCTTGTCCAGTGCTGATTGCAGTTGTCTGTAAAATTCCTCCTTATTCTCTTCATCTGCATTATTTATAGGTGTGTAGCATTGTACGATTGTGACTTTCCATCCTTTTGAGTTGAATCTTGCTGTTGTGATCCTGGAGGAGATTATTCTCTATCTAAGCTACCCCTTAATGATTTAAATCGTATGAAGACTAAAGTTGCCTTTGAAATATAATCATTACCCTACTGCATATACCTTTCCAAATACGTAAGTGTGCACAGATATTCAGACTTAGTGTGATCTGAAGTTATTCAGCATATTAACTAAAACCCACTTGAAGCAGAAACTAGAAACATCCATTTTGAAATGAGTCAATAAACCACTAAAACCAAGATGATACTAGATACCTAGTTAGTTCCAGTTTATCGTTTTGCTAAGCTTGACGGTGAGTACATCAGCAATGATCTGAACTATTTCGCTAAGGCCGACATACAGTGTAAACAGAGTCTCATTCAATGACAATGATGAGTATTAATCTTAAATATTTACTTGGCACATCACAATTACAACTTCATGAAATCCTTCTTAAGGTTGATCAATATTGAGAAACTTCGATGAGTTTTACTAGTTTAGTAGGTCGTTTTTTAACTAAATACTACACAAGTACATGAGTAGAGAAATATTTATGTTATGTATGCTTTGTCAACAAAATTATTAGTACTACTTACTACTAAATAGTAAATTTTACCAATTTATTATTCACGATAAACGAAGGTAAAGAAAATTTGTCTCACTCAACAGCAAATTATTTTCGTAGGTCTATTTCACTCTCTTCTTGTTCATTAAAAATAGACTGTCTGTGACAGGGATAAAAATAAAGTTTTCTCATGCGACTAAAAGTGTATACATTCAGTTTTCTGTACTGATGAAGCGTATTCACTTTATTCGCCTGCATTAACACCTAAAATGAATCTAGACAATGAACTGTGTTTCCCTTTTTTTTAACGGTCTTAGACAATAAATCTTATTCACAATTATTAGTAGACTTGGTTTGAAAAATCGAATGAAACTCATTTAACTCGGTGGTGGAAAGGAAAATATTTTCATTACTGTCAGTATGAATGTCTCCACTGACCAGTGGAAGCTGTTGCTGAGTACCATGAGTAGCTGATAGATAAAGAGAAAACTAGAATCGTAAGAGAAGCATGAAGTCAAGACTGACCCTATGAACACGATTCAGTCATTAAATGGTCGAAAATGTACTGTCAGTTCTTCGAAGAATGAATCGATTTCAGACTGTCTATCTGAAGTCATGCGGCACCGATGAGCATAACAAAACCAGGATCAAAAAAGCAAGACAGGCTTTCACTAATCTTAAATCAGTGTGGAGATCTTCTGCACTCAGCATGTGGAACAAGATCCGGATTTTTAACACCAATCCAGTTAAGTCAGTGCTGCTATATGGTTCATTCAGAGAGTTGGCGTGTCACGAAAAGCACTTCCAACAAACTACAGACATTCATCAACAGCTGCCTACGCTGGCTCGATACTGAAGATGAGATGGCCAGAAGGAATAAGCAACAAAGACCTCTGGCAACGAACCAACGAAGCAAGAACCTATCACCCAACAAAGTGGAGATGGATGGGGCATACACTGAGACGGCCAGCTGGGGACACCATGTGTCAGGCCAGGTTTTTGAGTGGAACCCAGATGGGAAACGACGAGTTGGGCGTCTGAGTCGAGGGTGACATGGAAGAGATCATATTAGGAAGAAATGAAAGTTTCTGGTCAGTCGTGGAGCGAGATTGAAAAGACTGCAGAGAATAGCAGAGTGGAATGGAGGCGTGCTACTGAAGCCATATGTTCCACTAAGAACCCAAAGGAAAAATAAATAATAATAATATCTGAAGTCATGCACATGTAAAAGATTTATAACTTTAGTGAAAGCAAGCGCTTTGTACAGCGACAATAAAACAGCTCTTTTCACTGTCTGAAATTCTCAATTGAAACCAACTGTTTGTAAGGATGAACTGTTAACTATCTGTTAGTAATGAGACAGATAACTAGATGTAATCCGCCAGTATATCTTTTTCTGCAAAATAACTCGCCTCTGTCATCTTTCGGAATGTATGGTGATATAACTTGGTCATACTACTGTTTTTATCAACTCAGTCACTTTACTCGACAATATACTGATACTTTAAATAACAACCGTAATATTTGCATTTCACCGGAAACACCACAATGAGTCCATGTATACCCTAATTAGGCATAGTTCAAAAGTTTTGTAATTAATGACAACATAAACAGAAATACTTCAAAAATGCCTTCACTTACCACTTGCAAGCAGTGAAGAGATCACATATCCATCCAGATCAGAATCTTCTTCCATATCAAATACTGATACTAAATTGGTATAGTCATTGATAATTTCAATCAACATATTCACTTCATCTGTATAATTTGTGTAATCCGGATGTAGATCACTCAGGAATTCTTCGATGATTGACTCGATTCTTAACAGAAAAAAATCGATATTTAATGAATGAGTTACCACTCTAGTTTACGATTAAGCATCCTTAATTTTTGTCATCAGAAACACTCAAATTCATTATCCAAGCAATTGCTACGTACTAGTTAATCTTAAACCATATGGGCAACTGAACTAAGTTGGAAACCGTGGACTCCTTGATGGCAACTGACTAGTTGACAAGTAGTTTATTGATTAAGAATGCAAGAATAGTGACTTCAATCCCATACCCTTTGAGCAACGGTCCTTGCGTAGGACTCTGAACCTGACTGGTACCAACTGGGTTCACATAATGATTTCACCGCACAAAAACTATCCTTCTAAACCTTTTCTAATCAATACCTGTAACACTTTTACTTCTTCTGCTTTTAGAATTCATGATTCAAAGCCGTATGATAGCAAAACGTACACTACTGCACAGTATACTCGCCTACTAATTAGCAGTCAGATATTTGATTGATACTATGAATGGAGTAAGTAGTTTAAGTGGCAAACCGACTGTAGGTTATTCATGTGGAAGTGACCCATTCAGTGTATACATGATTTTATTCAACTGCGAACCGACACTCTATTTCTCTGTTCATCATATTAGTAGTATCTTCATCACCTGAATCTAACTAATGAAAGTGATAAATTCTAGTCAGTATAGGGTCAAGCTATGCATAAATCAGTCTTCGTTTAATTTCCTCTAAAACTTTAATACATAAGACAGGAATGTATCAGGAGGTGAAAATGTTCGGCTTCTAATTATAAAGAATCGTCTGTCTTTCAAGGATTTTGTAACTGTACAGACAAATTATTATTCATTGGTATCTCACGATATTGATTTACATACACGTCTTATCTCTGATACCTTCACGGTAATCATGCTTCTATCTCATCAAACCTCTTAAGTATCAAATAAATCCCTGTAAATATCAGTCTGTACATATATGAGTACGAAATACTTTCTTGTTTCTTCTCTCCCTATCTAGTCTAGGAAAAATAATACTGACAGTAAGGTGATTGATAGTTCCAGGCTGATGTACGTAAACAGGCAGCCACAACAACATTTTTCACTATGTAACAAAAAATATGACTGAATTTATGTTGACATGAATATCATACACAACGATGTTTTATGTATCAATTATTTCCAAATGGATTGCAAAAAAACAATTCAACTCTTCGTTGAACTGACAACAATTGACATTCATGTTTTATGCAATTGGAAATAACATCTTTCGATGCCTACGTCTACAAAATCCTAACGAGAGAAAAAAGCTATTTAGAGGATAAGTTCCTCTTGTTATGAATAAATGACTATTACAAATATGCACACTGAATCGATAGTTTAGCCTAATAGGCCTGAACTTGTCTTTAAAAACTTTTTCCGCAGTGTTTTGGTATGATTATCTTTTCGATATAAAAGTTAAATATCATCAAACATATATGAACTAAGAGAGATTTGAAGGAAGACTAAGTAAATCAAAGGAGAGTAATGGCTGTCTGTTAACTTTGTCGTTGAGGGTTACCTAAGAAACTACAGACATGAAACCTCGTTACTGTGGACAGTATTATACATATTAAGTGTATGCTACAGCTTTTTACTGAGCTAATAGAAAGTTTTACTGGTTTTCTTTAGAACCATGGTACATTAGGCTATCTAAACACATATGTATAAGTTCCTTTCATAAAATTGTTCACAAGATATGTGTTCTGATAGTTTATTCTTTTATAGTCATAAACTGATAAATATTTGTGTTGTCATTTATTGGTTGAACTTTTAAGATGAATTGTGAATGAGTGGCTTATGTGAAATATTATAGAAGATGAGGGTCTTTCCTGAGATCGTGTCCAGACAGATGTACTAATAACCATGTATTCTGACCAACGTCATTTACACTTCGGTGCGCATTCTAATCACTGATTGAAATTTGTGAAATAAGCTTTTTTCGTTGATTAAATTATGTGTGTATGGGCATGATGAAGCGGGTTATTTTTAGGTATAAAAATAGCTGTCTTTATATTACAAGCCAACGGAACTTTCGGACCCACCGAGTACTCATGCTTAGATTTATTCTCAACCATAAAGTTCAACAGTTCTACTTTTCTAAAACTGTGGCTATATACGTTCTGTGATTTAATTAGTATAAATAGGATTCAAATATGTTGAACAGTCGGAATTCATGCGTCAGAGCTTACAATACCTAACACAATAATTCAGCTTACGGTTAAAATTCATTCAGAACCTGTAATAGATCAACTTGATAATAACTTTGCATTTCCGCCCAACTTCATGACTTATATGACGTTGTTTAACAAGCGGAAAACAACTTTATTGACTCTCAACATCCTACTAGTTAACGTGATACTTTGATAGGAGATAATATAGTACTTTTAAGGTAGTATTCTTTATGAAATGATATTATCTGCAGAACCACTGAGAACAGTGGAGCACTGGACAGGTATTTGGTCCTAATAAGTGACTACTCAGCATTATACACCCACAACTCCAACTGGGATGGAACTTACAACCTTTAGGTACTGCGGTGGATACGTTAACCATCGGATTATTTGGTCAGAGTTCGTTAGTCTACACTTTCGTTTTTCTGCCAATTCACTATATAGCGCAACTATGTACCACGGTCTTCAGTTTACATCCGCTTCACTTCCCACTGGTTGACCCCATATTGTATTGAAAGCGAAATCCACAAAGACCTCAAACTACATATGTAATAGTAGTATAACATCTTTTAGGATCTTCCCCCTATTCATTACACGTTTCCATGGTGTTTTTGGGCACTTAGTCTTGCTTAAGATTCCCCATGTTGTGTTTGATATCCAGTTAATCCACGAAGTTTTCAAGTTACATTTCCTTCGTGAAGACACAACTGACTGATATCACTTATTGCTGTTATCAGCCTAAAGTAGACAGTTCTTTCCACTGGAATTCTGAAATCTTAGCATACGAATAGAAAGATGAGTTTACAGACTGATGCTTATCTAGAGAATCCCACAGATTTTCTTCTTTTTGTGTAGTAGAGAATATCTAATTTGATGAATAAGCAGTCAAGTCTTTTAACAGTAACATGGGAACTGAAGTTTCTGAGTAGCGATTCAAGCTGTTACAGAAGAAGATAGTGTATGAGTCTGTCTGCGCCATGGCAATCAATCCATAGTTATGTCTCCAATAGACTTGAACTACGGGTTTCGGTCTATCAGACGAACCTCAACCCAAAAGCAAAGCTTTTCCACTACACGCCTCAAACCAACAGTCAAACACTTTGCATGTCTATACCATTTCATATTCTGGATGCATTTAACCCTTTTTTTAGCTGAAACCTATTTTAGATAGAATTGCACAACCGGGTAGATGCTGACTAGAGATGTGCAATAAAGACCCAAGCCTTGTTGAAGAATATGAACATTCAAGCACAGGCTAAACTAATAGAAGGTAATTCAACGCGGAAAATTTCTTTTCCAACGAATCATTTTTAGTCTCTTTGCAATAGTATCTGTAGTAGTAAAAAATAAATAAATCTCTAGTTTCAGGTCTAACGCTTTTATATTTGGGAAAGTAAAACATAAGGTAAAAACAGCTAAAAATCGATTCAACATGGCGTGAAAAATAAACTACAGCTTTGAGCCACATCTCTGTCACCGAGTTTTTATGAAGCCGGTTATATAAGTCACAAAACTTTATCTTGCCAAACTCATCTCCAGGAGCTATCCTGGTTGGTTATCCAAAGGAGAGTTCAGGTGAAGAAAAATTCCATCCTTGACCATTTGGTCAACTCTAGTCTTCGTTTAAAAACCCATAGAAAGTCAAAACAAACAGTTCAGTAGGAGTACGAGTTTATCACTTATGTGTAGCAGAGGTATTGGAAATCCAGCAATTCAGTCCTAAGCCCCATATATGGAAGACATACGTCATTACCCGCATTTTGTCGTGGTCATGGTCCTTCCTTATGTTACTTTATTGCTTCAATAATCAGTTTACTCTTATTGACTTATTATCCTGGCTGTTTCTACTTTATAGCTTACTTTCCTAAGTCTGCATGGGATAGCTAAAGTTTTTCAATTGAATTCACGTTATATTCCTTTACAACTATTCAATTTAGCTTGTGTTTTTACCTAATAATCATCGTTGTAATCGTCAGGATATATTTTTTCACACGTCCTATGATTACACAAAGTTTCCCTCTCACTTTAGAAACGATTAGCTATTTCCTGCTGAACAATTCCGTTTCCGAAATGACAGCCATTGGATAACGAATGAACCCCTGAAGTCTTTAGTGCCCAGCACAGATCGACATCTATCGATTAAGTTTTGCAATCTAGCCATTAAGTTCAGTGATAATGTAGTGAACTGTAGATTGATGTTAGATACTGAAAACCAATTAACAGGAAACTCTGTCTAACTTTGGTTTTGTGCTTACTGACACTCATCAGTAAAACATTCGTGCAACCATGACAGCAGCATTGTTCCCTGGGCAATCATTATCTGCGTTACTTAGTGCTGAGGTTACGTCTTTTGCTGCTAAGATATTTAGTAACAGGTCTAGGGATTCCCAACAAATTACTCTTCAGATCTAACACCAATGCCTCAATTACGCTATCTACTGAATAGGTCAGTAAAATTTGTCTGTTCCTTAAACGCTACCACTTAATCTGTTATTTTCATATAATAGTTTTCAATATATTTTTCATCGGTCACTAAAACAAATCAGGTACATAAATGTGCCCGAAACTGAAGAGTAAGCATATGTGTACATGAGGGAGTTGTGGAGATTTGGAATTATTTCAAGTTGTTATTCATCGTAGACTGACATCAGGTGGAGGAACAAAGGAAACCTGGAAGCACTGGACAGCTGTTTCGTCCTAGTATGGGACTCCTCAGCAGTGCGCACCCACGACCCATGTGTTTAAAAACGTGTCTCTTGGGTTCTATAGCAATTTAGTTTCCTTGCTTCTTCGGTTTCTCAGCCATAAGCAACATTTGCAATCCCGTTATAAGTGCCAAAGTAAAGTGAGTAAACACCTGATACTTCAATTTTTTGGTTATCATATCAGTCAACATAAATCAATAAATAAAAACTCATTTGAACAATTTCAAATTACCTGGCCTCCAGTGGTACTTGGTCCTTATCATCAACAACTTCTTCAGCTGCCATTTTGTTAGCTGCATCCAGTCCAAATGCTATCACATCTGCAGCTCCAGATGTACCCTTTATAAGTTTGACACAAATAAGAACAGTTCATTTAATGAGATTAGTCGGATAAATATTTATAAGCTTTATCATGGATTTGGGTGATACTGAAATTACAATCTCTTCTTCAACTTGGTTTGGCAACTCACTTGGTAGAGACCTGGAAGTCGCTCTGTCGAATCCTGTCGTAGCACATATTTTCATTACACCTTTAAGCATCGTCCAGTACCAATATTGAAATTGTCTAGTGCGAAATAAGATCTTTATTTTATTTAGTGCATACGCTTAACCATTTAGTTCGTCTGATGTTTTGAATGTCTCAATAACTGATAGTCTAGGTATTCACCGAGAATTTATTAATATGGTAAAGGACAGACGAGGTTGTTAATCAATAGATTTCTTGCATGATTTAAATTTTATGCCTGCTGAAAGTCAAGAACGTCAGCTAAATAGAAACCTTAGAAAATTTATATTCTCTCTGATGTTTGAACAGGTGCCAATCAGTGCTGAATTCAATGACTATATCACTAAGCTAATTAAGCATCAGGTTAGACGTTTTACCCGTTGATCAAATGCGTAAATTGTCCACTAATCTGAGCAATATGACACCGTCTGAACAGAACAGTACACCTTGAATACATAGCAGCCTGTATTCTCATCACTCAGCAGTAAAGTTACTGAAGTCACCAATAGAAGTGACTGTTAGCGCTTAACTGTAGTATGCTAAACAACTCATGATAATTTTAGTGTTATTGCTTGTATTACACCGTCTTTGACTGGACCGAATTGATCAGTCTCTGTTGGCATATGTGCTCTTGCGCGGATGCCTCTATATTACCTGTCTTTTAACTATGTATAGCAATGATGGGAAGTGGCTAGCAGCGGAATCCAGGATGCGCATTTCGTCCTTTTTGGGACTCACTCGTCAGCTAGATGTACCTACCTCTCAGTGAGTGATGTTGTTCCCACTGGGACTCGAACCGCATAGCGATCGCCCCAAACGCGAGAACGTTATCCACTATACCACCAAGCCACGATAGCCACCTTTTATGCGGCGGGTATAGGTTTAGTGTTAATGTTTGTATTACACCGTCGTTGATTGGACCGAATTGATCAGTCTCTGTTGGCATATGGAGCATATATGAAGCGATCGCTCCCGAGTCCGAGTCCCGGTGGGAACATCACTCACTGGGAGGCAGGTACATCCAGCTGACGAGTGAATCACAAATAGGACAAAATGCGCATCCTGGATTCCACTGCTAGCCACTGCCCACCATTATTAAACTTATGATAATGTTTATACTCCCACTGATTTTGTTAGTCATGATGCATTGAGCACTTTTCCGTTTGTTCGATAAGAATAGCTACTAGTAACCGTGGTGAGCATTTCTTATAGAAATCCTATAAATTGCATTTCATTGGATTCCTTGTAAATCTGATAACTGATTCTCATATGTCATGGCATATATTCACAACTTAAAAGATATTGCATAATACAGAGGGAAATACAACTATAAGTCCATATATTTTGTTGCTGAATGCGAGCCCTATACTTTGACTGAAGCATCTTCATCCAGACAGATGACTGGGAGAAATTAAGTGGAGTAAAGAGGAATTAATTTTCAAAAATTGACAATCTACTTGATTTCTTTTACCGTTATACAATCAACAGTACCTTTCAGCTTCAATCCTACACTCAAGATATCCGTATTCACCTGGTTTTATAAAGATTATGGTAAGAGCTGACCAATGAAAGACTTGGTGCATTCACCCCCTACATTTTGTCCTTGACCAGTGTTGTATGATTGGTCCAGCAGTTTACACAATTAAGTGATACACTTCAGTAAAACAGTTATTTTCTTCATCATATTATGCACCATTGTCTCACGTACTAAATCACAAAATCTCTTCAAGATAATTTGTCAATTCATTACCTTTGTAACAACAATTGGACAACGATTTTGAATCATTGAACAATAGACTTGACGTAGTGTGAATCGATCTCCACCGACAACTAAGCCACACATTGGTACCAAAATTTCTTCCTCATTTCCAACAGATTTTCCACCTTTTGCTGGCCTAATACTTGAATCTACAACTTGTTTCTCTTTCGTCCCTCGTGTTCCAGACCCTGTTGAGACAGGCTGGTTACTAATTGTTGCTTCTCCTGTGCCTTTGCCTAAAGCAGAATTACTTGAAGAGCCGCCTGTAGTACCTGAAGCTTTACCAATCGACGTTGCACTCGTTTGCGGTCCAGATGTTGTACTAGTCTGTCCGCCCATTGTACTACCTTGTCTTTGTAATGTCCCAGTGGTTGCATTATTGCTGTTATTGGGTGTGGTGGGAAGACCACTCTGAGGTTGTTGTAAATATGTTGCAGAACCTGCTGCTCCACTCTGCTGATTTGCAGTAGCAGAACTCTGTTCTTGAGGACTGCTTGCACAACTCCATAAAGAGATGCAACGTTCAAATCGTGCACGGAATTCAGCGTCTTTGCCTTTCAACTGATCAGTTGTCCCATCGTCAACTAGCACGAAAAAATTATGATTCGGGTCCAGTGCACGCTCTTCAACATCACTACGTACTGGTTTGAAACCGCCTTGTGACGATGGATCCACCAAAATTGGTTCGCTATCTTCAGCATCTTCCCCATCATCTTCTTCTGATTGATAAACTGCTGTACCCTTGAATTAATAAAAGAAACAATTAAAAGTGAATATGAGTAAATAAAGTGATTTCAAGTTGATACTCATCAAGAACTGAATTCAGCTGAAGCAACTTTTGAAACCTGGGAGCACTGGATGACCGTTTTGTCCTAGTATGGAACTCCTCAGCAGCTCTCACCCACGACCCTAATAGGGATCCAGCCGAGGCATCCAGGTTACCATTAAGCCACCTGTCGACATTAATTAATGCACTTTTTCTGTTAGCTAGACATTCAATCTTGTAGTTTTTCCTGTCATAATCAAAGGTTTATATGACAAATCGCTAGGTTATTATGAAGTTTTGTCAGCAGTCACCCGTACAGTCCATGAGTTATCTTAGTATGCCAGAGTGCTAGGGAATAAACAGCAGATACCAAATATGTTTATGCTTTGTGAAGCATAATCTCTCCAGATTGACAGTGAATTTTACAAGATTACAAGAATAATTCAAGAAAGGTGTCTTAGTGAACTCTATGATACCGAAAAAAATCCTCTTTACATGAATATGTGAAATATATAGCTCATAATTACCATAAGATATTTCTTCACTTCAAGATCTTCTAGAGCGTTTACAATGTGTCTTTCTAGTGCTTCATAATACATACTTTATTGTACTTTTGGTTCACTCTTTCAGAATACAAATGGTAGTATATTCACTTAGAAAAAAATCAACTTCCTAAAGGATAGACGTATCACAGACCGGCTGAAATCTGAGAGTTAATATAAGCATTGATTGGTCACCGAGGAGCATGAAACCAATATCCAGAACTTCTCTCTCTGACCAACTAACAGTTCAGACATGCTGTAGACAACGGTTGACTAGGAAAATTCTTTCCAATAATGTCTAACCGCTTCATCACACTTTCGCGGTTCAAGAGTTCCCGACTGACCATAGGACATAAAGGTATTTGATTCACTCATTGAAAGTGAAGTGCGTATAAGGCGGTGAGATGCCTTAAAATTTGATGAGGTAGTCACGTATGTCATTCTGTGTTATTTGAAGGTAAGTTTATTTATTGTATATGTAGCATAAATAACATAACCGATGGCCTAACCGTAAAGCAACCTGTTAGAAGAATGTTTTCATACATCTACTACAAGCAGCACTTTTTTCCCCAGAGATAAATGTATATTCATAATTACCGGTGATGGTAACGTGGCCTAATTCTACTTTTTCACGGATTTTAGACATACACCAATAAATCTCCTATTGATTTCAGGTTTGAATTCATAATGGATTGACGTCTGTTCAAGGAACACTGGAAACCTAGAAGCCCCAGGCAGCTGTTTCGTCTTCGTATCGGACTCTTCAGTAGCTCACATTCATGACCCCACCAGGGGTCGAAACCAGGACCTTCGGGTTCCACGGTCAACACGTCGCAATTGAGCCATGGGCAGGGATCCAGTGGTCCACATTTCCTACTTCTGTCGCTTCACGATATAAAGTGACTTACATCCAGTGTCATCGCTGAGTAACTGTCCTCACGTTAGATTCGGTTTACTCCACTGGTCACAACTTCTCATTAAAATTTCGGGAATCACCTCTCGAAGCTAGTCACCAATCAGCATTAGATTAATTCAGTTTTGAGGTTTGTCAGGATTTTATTGATTTCAGGTTGGAATTCATCATGGATTGATATCAGTCAGAGGAACATTAGAAACCTGGGAGCACTGGACATTAGTTCAATAGCTGTGGAACCTGAAGGTCCTGGGTTCGATCCCCGAATGGGGTCATGGATGTGCGCTGCTGAGCAGCCCAATACTAGGGTGAAACAAATGTCCAGTACTCCAAAGTTTCCAATGTTCCTCTAACTGATATCAATTAATAAGCCTCCACAAAACTTCCAGAAATGAATCTCTCATTGTTGATTCTTCACAAACAGATACTAAAGAAGAAGGAGTTGATTAATATCTATAACAAATTAAAGCAATCATTTTTAAACGGAATTTATAAAACTCATTTAAGTGAATACTACTACTTCCTGTAACCTTTTATCAGGAAAATGTTTCTATCATTGAAATGTATTACCAACCTTGTTCTTGTTAGTATTTTGCCCGCCCTTTGTACGCTTGTTTGCGTTTACATTCATGCATGATTCAGTGTGTTCAATATACAACTGTTGTACGTTTAATCTTACACTCATATCATTTAAAAATCCAGGCTTTAAGGAAGGAACATTAAAGTTTTCACTTCCATTCTTTAGTCATATAATATTTAAAATAAATAGACAGGAAAAACATCATTTGTAGAAAAAATATTATTCTTAATAGAATGATCAATTCTTATGTAGAAAACTTCATTGTCCATGTTGAAATTTTTCAAAGTTGAGTAATTTTTCAACTATCTAATTGTAGTGTCTACATCGTTTCCCTTAGAAATAGCCCAACCAAGGTCATAAGGTGTGATATCTGAAGAAAAACTATCGAAACACTTTGTTTGATACATGGGGCACAGTGTGATACAGTATTACGTACTTGCTGTTGTTTAAAGCATAAATTACCATCGATCATAATCATATCAACGTAATCACACAGCACCTTCCATATGTGATTTTACAGTCACCCCTGTCACCTTATATTATTTGTTTTTAGTGGTAGTAACAATTTCCATATCTTTGGTATAGATGTTGCGTCATTCCTATCACATGTGTCAGGTGTTGATTCGATGAACAAAGATTCAGTAATCAATCTCTCTCAATCCTCATCCAATTATATAAGACTTGAGTACTGTGATTTTATCCCACCCACCCTATTGTGTGGTTGTGTGTTAACGCATGCACTGCAATAGCGGAGTTTATTTTCTAGATTATTGATCTCATTGGGGTCTATCATTCAATATTTAGCTAAATTGTTATGTTCCACTAATCTAACTAGTCATTGTAAGAACTTAAACAAGGAATTGAAACACACACAAAAAGGATCATTGATTTATAAGTATCCTTTACAGGAGGTCAGATGCTGCCCGAATAGCTCAGTGGTAACGTCGCTGACTACAACATAAGATGACGTGGGTTCGAACCTCAGGCGTGACATCAAGTAAATAGAGGTTGAAGCCGCGCCTTACTGACGAATGCCAACAAGCACGAGACTTAGGTAGAGCAACGCTTCCTGCTGATTGTCTCCATCCAACTAACATCTGTCGAAGTGAATCGCGATTCTGAGCTGCGTAATCTGGTGGTCACATTGCAAAATGATGGACAGAATCCAAGCAGCACCTAATACTAGACAAAATGAAGTTGATTGGCCTCCAGTGAGCAATCAATGCAACCTCTACCGTTTATTAAGAAATCCGTACGAACAAGTAATAAATAAAATTATAACGGTAACACGAGTACGAATAATAACGACAACACAAGTAGAAAGTTCACAGCCTTCATTGTGCTATCCTATAACGAAGGTGCATCAGAAACTTTATGTAAGATCCTCAACAAAGTTGGAATTAAGGTGACATTTAAACCTATTAACTCACTCAGAGATAAGCTGTGTTAACTGGCTTAAGCATCCGTTAGATCCAGTTGAGAAAAATAACTTAATCCATCAAACTCCATGTTATGACCTTGAGGTCAAGTATGTAGGTCAGACTGGCAAGTTGGGGTCAGTCAGAATAGCCGAACATAAGAATTTAGCTAAATATTGAATGATAGACCCCAATGAGATCAATAATCTAGAAAATAAACTCCGCTATTGCAGTGCATGCGTTAACACACAACCACACAATAGGGTGGGTGGGATAAAATCACAGTACTCAAGTCTTATATAATTGGATGAGGATTGAGAGAGATTGATTACTGAATCTTTGTTCATCGAATCAACACCTGACACATGTGATAGGAATGACGCAACACCTATACTAGAGGTTACATTCTTCCACAGTGCCCAAGTTTTACGCTTTTATCGAAAACTTTGACAGCAACAGATAAGTGCATACTCATGACAATGCATGGGATGAAACCCAGGCCTTATACGTTCCCATTCAGATGGTGGGTGAGAATCAAGTCGCTGACGCCCATGAAATTTTTACTGCGTTAATAGTTTTGTAAGGAGTGGTTAGGTTGTCATGGGTTCTATTCTATGATAGAGAATGAAGCTTATTTTTGAATGAACACATTTTAGTACTCTAATTACTATCATCGTTATCACTGATGCCTACGTGTAGTCCTAACGCAGTAACAATGTTGAGAAGGTTGAGGGTTAGCAACTATTTGGTGAAAAAATTAATTGGTAACACGTTTTCTTATCTATAGATGCTCGAGAAACCTTAATAACTGACAAAAATCAAGTCAAATAATTAGATGTAGTCAGATTTTTGTCAAAACAATGAGAACCTTCAAAGTTTGTGTTTACTTTGAAGAATAAAGTTTCACAGTTACTCAGTCTAAATTTAAGTGATACTTTTTATGCTAAACATCTTAAATGGTCTTCTACTTGGTGTTCCTGGACCCCAACAAAACTTCTCAGACTACTTCAGTTTGCGTAGTTATCTGAAGTAAGATTCAACGGATTCACTCACTAGAGAATACCCTCATTTTTCCACTGTCTAGTTCTGTATAAATCAGTTAAATACTGATAACCGATTTGACGTGAGGTATGAGAAAATGTCATTCGTAATCACAACTCACATATACTGTGATATATCTAACTCAACTTCTGTGTACTATTAGATGGCAACAGTGGCATGATAATTTTCAGTTTGTTAGCCTTACAATGGAAAAAACTTTGGTGTTTTCAAAAAGATTATTCATGAAAACATTCATGGGATAGCATAAGTAACCATATGAATAGTCAGTTTGTTGATAGAAGGCTGGTTATTATTGCTTAGGGAAGTGAAACAGCTCGGAGTGACTGGTAGTAAATTCTGTCAAATCATGGCCTAGTAGAATCCAGGAATATTTGGCCAACCAGCCTCACTGCTAGTTAGTTTCGAATGTATATCATTAAAACACTGACGATTGTATTCATCACTTCAAAGCTGGAGAATTCAGTAATTATGGATTAGTGAATCTTTGACGACAAATATAACCGAGAGATGTAGCCCAAGATGATAATAACATCACAAATGGAATCGGTTATTCCATATACATATATGCATACTTATTTATCTTGTTTGGTTGACAAATTACTGATACCATTGCACAAAAGGTAACCAGTGGCCTAGTGGATAACGCTTTGGAGTTTGAAGCGACGGGTATTGTGGTCTGAGTCTCAATGGGAACAAAATCGCTCACTGCAGGCCTGGTACACCCAACTCATGAATTCCGAGTAGATGGAAACACCTGTCCTAGATTCCTCTGCTAGCCACCACTTAAAATACAATAATAAGCAGGTTGTTTGGAGAGTAAGTATCGACAACAAAAACTAACTTCAGTAGCACCAAACTTCAGTTGACAATTCTCAAGCTTCCTGAGCAAATTAAAGTGATATAGTATCGGACATGCACATCTAAGCAAATGAAAACATACCATAACTGCTGACTTGCGATGAAATCATAACTTGCAAACAAGATGTTTGGTTTCCATCTCAGGGTTTTTTTCTGGATTCATTTTTCGATCTTATATATGTTTCTACTCGATACCGCGTACTTTTTCAGCAGAATCTCAACTGGTAGATAATTATCACCCCATTTTATACAACTTATATCCATCCTTATGAGTAGCTTTCACTGCAATATGATATTTATTGCTGCTTAGTTACAGGTTACACAGCCTTAGCAAGAAACCAAGTACTATGATTCGCTACATTCAGATTCATTTGTATGATTCATTGTGAAGTTATACAAGCGCTCCGGATGTTGTTTAAAAGGGGTGACAAATCGAACACCCTTAATATTCAATTTATCTTTCACAAGACCAATAGGACTATGGGTTTTTTTCTTATATTAATCCTAATTGAAAGTAAGTGTGAACTATTTACAACCTATGCAACAACATCACAGTCAATATTTGAGTAGAGATAGGTTTTTTCACTACCAAAGGGATCGATAAGTGTTGCCATTTAGTCCTAATAAGCAATTGTTTTAATATTATTTTCGGTCATATTCTGAATGAATTTTCTAACCAGTGTCATGGCAGTTTCAGGAAGCATATATTGTCTCGTTTTGAAGTTTTCAAATGAATACACTTGCTTCTCAGTACATGTTGTTACTCCCGCTGAGACTATGGCTCGACACTTGTCAGTCAAAACGTAATAGCCTAGTGAACAACTCAAATAAAAACACCGCCTTCTGATCACTAGTCTGTAATAGTTAATGGGACTTGAAATGCTGCTTTGTTGGACTGATGGGGGAGATGCCAACCTTCACCGACACGCAGATCAATCAGACTGATGGATTTCATGAAGGATGGAATGCATTTTTTTTTACTCCCTTGATATATCATTCAAGTGTTGGAATGATACCTTCCTAAGTATACTCCTTTATTTTATTAATGATCATCTGCTGTAGCACCATCTCTAAGATCAACTTCCATAAGTTCCCTTCGACATTCGTTAAACTTTCTGAGCGTTTTGCTTAGCTTTCTCGGTTATTTTTCTGGAAGCTACTTCTATCTACATCAGTGTTTTTCCCATGGAGACCATTTTTTTGTCAAGTGATTTCAATCAAGATAGCAATCTAAACTTCAGTCTTGTAAAGCACTACTTCAAAGAAATGCGGTCCACTTTCAGTGGTAAAATTTAAGTTCCTAATTAATTACAATACTTTAAAGCAGAAAATTGTACTTTACCTCATGTAAAGCTGCTTCAAGTATTTCATTCTTTGTTACACAATCCCAACTGGCCACACCAAATGCCATCATTCGATTGCCACCATAAGCATCTGTGTAATCACGAACAGCTTCACCAGTCAACTTCATAACACCCAAGTGAAAACCACCCGTTACAATCCAGCAACCTGTTATAAAAAGCAAATATATGAAGAGATGACAAGTAAGTAAGCACCGATAGTTGAACACTATTATTATTATTATTATTATTATTATTACTATTATTGTATTATTTGTCCCTTGGGTTCCTAGTGGAACATAACGCTTCAGTAGCACATCTCCATTCCACTCTCCAATTCTCTACAATCTTCTCAACATCACTCCACCACCGCACACAAGCTCACATTCCCTCCTCTCACCATCTCCTCCATGTCACCCACACATTGGACGCCAAACTCATCGTTTCCCATCTAGGTTCCACTCGACCGTCTGACCTGTGGTGTGATATCCTCAGTCGGCATTCTCAGTGTATGCCCAATCACTCTCCACTCCCTTCCAGTACACACTTGTTGAGTGATAGGTTCTTGCTTTGTTGGTTCGTTGACAGCCAGAGTTTCTCATTGCTCATTCTTATTATTCTGGCCATCTGAGCTTCAAAGTCAGTAACGAGCGTAGGTGGCATTTGTTGATGAATGTCTGTAGATTCTTGGAAATGCCTTTCGTAATGCGCCAAGTCTCTGAACCATACAGAAGCACTGATCTGACTGGATTGCTGTTGAAAATCCGGATCTTGTTCACGTTTTATACTGAGTTCAGATAGGTGAACACTGGTAAGAGATTATTACAAGAAAATTATTATTACAAAGTAAACTGAGAGTAGTTTCGATCATGAAATGACATCAGTCAGTAAGTTGTTGAAAGACAGAGAGCTGCTTTACTATTGTTTCAGATTCACCAGTTCATTAACCTCTCTTTTAAGAACTCGAGTCCAGGACTTTCAGGTCCTGTAGTGAGTATGCAAACATTCAGCCTCTACGTTTAGATCCAATTTGCCAAGTTCTTTTATTCCTTTTAAATTGGGGTGTTTCATGGCTATTATCCCATGCCATAGGCTACCTACTACTTCCCTCACACTCAGGTTGGTTGATCCTTCACGCCATGACTTCGCATTAGTAGGATAAGAAATCAATCTTGACGCCAGGAATTCTTGACAAAATCTACTTTGGAATCAGTTAATCATTTTCTGCAGACTAGCAAATGAAATCAGTTATTAGTGTTCATGAAGTACAGCTTTTGTTTGTGTACAAGTGGTCTAACTTGTTGGTATATACACACACTTGGCGTTCACATTTTATCATTATATGTAACCTGATTGTCGCTTTGAACATAGCTGTTTTACTTCACTGTCAAGTAGGTCAGTTTGGATTCTGGATATCGAATGGTAGTATTGTTACTGGTCGTTGTTTCTGATCTAAACTAGTTGAACATCCGACTAATTGTAAGTCTCCTTGACATAATAGGAGGATCCTTCTGAGATGTTGTCCACTGGATAGTTATGTCTGTAATGCGGAGTCGCCGGCAGAATATGAAGTATCATCTTGGTGATGTCATCATTCAATCTTAAGCCTATCATTTGGGTTACTATTTAATGCTTTGTAGCTGCTGGGACAGTAACATAGCTCTTGAAGAAGATAGCGTCAAAAGGAATGATAAAGCTATATTACCCATTGACGGTGTGAATTAAGTTCACTACAATTGTTTGTAACCTCGCCTGGTTAACTAGTTTACTAGTTACTAGCCGGTCCTAAGCCCGGGTAAAGAGGGAAGGTTGGGCATAGGGCTAGCAACCCTACCCCGTAAAACAAATCTAACCGCTAAAGAAACTTCAAAACTTCAACAATTGTTTGTAGGCATACACTGGTTAGCAATTTGAGATCAAAATGAGCCCCTTATCCAGAACCCTCTGGTTTTCATTCCCTCTCCAGTTAGATGAGAGCTATCCAGCTGGATGGTTACTTTAGCTGAGATCTTTGATGAAGCTTATGGCTTTCAGAGTTGAATGATGCGGGTCCAGATTCCTAAGATGATATGTACTTCTTGGAGCTTGTAGGTAGATTCTGTTGGTAAATGTGAACAAATTTGAAAACAGCTTCTTGTCAACTGACTAATACCGGTAAACACATACAACTGAGAGAGGATAGACCGAAAAAACACAATCTCCTTGTGTACACTTGGTCGTACTCAAGTCTAATTCAAGCATTCCTCTCTTGTGCTCGATCATACTGGGGCAAAGCGAAAACGCTTGAATAACACCAGTAACTACACAGTTGTTTTAAGCTAATTAATTATCACTGGGTAACCGATGCACCACTCTAGTCCTTGATGTCCAGCACTGATTAAAGCCAGTCGATTAAACTCACAGTAGAACCAATGAACAAAGGAAAACATTAGTGTCGTGAGCTGTATTTCTGTTTTAGATGTTGGATAACACAAGTTTTAACCACCAGGAAAACACCAATTTCCTTAAATTTGCACATACACTTAGTTGATGAGTGCCAACAAACACGAAACACACATCCATAGCTTCTTGTGTATTAAAACCAAACAAACAATACACAGATTTCTGTCATTTTCACTAGTTAAAGGAATTGAGGGGAGATAAAAAAAGAATATTATCTAGAAGGCAACAGGGAATAAAAATCAATCAGATTGCAACATTTCACTTTCGAGGTTAGAATTGTAAGACAGGATTAACAGAACTTTAAGCAGAAAGTTCGAATTCAAGTAAGATCGAAGATGCAAGCAGTACTGCCTAAAAATGTTTTTATCTCTATTTCTTACAGTATTCTTGGAACATGGCCAATTAGAGTAGAAGACATGAGTTATATGTTTTTGAGCAACTATGCCTTCCTTGAACTACTCATGAATAGCGAAGCAACCGTATATGATCCGATACTGAGTGGGGAAGTCAAGTCATTTGGTGAGGATAAAAACCTTCATCGAGTGACATAAATTTACCATGTGTCCCACTTGCTAAATCACCATGGATATCAATGCGTAATGTTAGCCAATTTAGATTTCAGCAGAAGGGAAGCTAAACTGTGTGAACTAATGATACATGGTATCATTTCATGAAGACTTTGATTTCTGATCTAACGCGTGTAGAGAAGGTTACTTGGTTGAAGTAACTAAAGTGATAAAAAGATAAATATACTTCACCCCTATAAAAGACTTCAATCAGATCAACTGATTCTGCAGTACTGGTGATTATCGATTATCAAGTCTCGCAAATGACTCATTTCTTTCAAATGTATGCAGATTCACAGTACTCCGCAACAATAGATTATTAAACAGTGAGAAGGGATCTACAACAATCTGAGCGTATAAGGGCTAACACTTTAAACTACATTACTGAATAACAATGATTTAACTCTGACTAATTTCGAAGAAATCGATCCAGTTTGGAGTTATGTTGTCCTGATGTAGTGTGAAATAATGAAAATAAACCTTGAATTGATGTCACCTTATCAAAACACCACTTAATGGTGGCTAACGCTGGAATACAGGAAGTATATTGCCTCTTATTTGAAGCTCACTAGCTGGATTTAACTGTATCCCTGAGAGTGTTGATGTGTCTGGTACCCAGCGCTTCAAATCTCAGAGAGTGACTCACTAGGATATCGAGACAAAAGGATGAAATTTTTTGTAATCTGCATCATTTGCTACGTATTAGTATTTCCTATTTCATGAAGGGTATTATGTAATCGCTTCGTATTTCAAAAAATATAAACAAATATTATCACTAAAAGAAATCTGGCTGAATATTTTTTTTTCCAACTTCTGGAAAGAAAACATTGAAAATATGGATATCATTTATATGTATAAGGATTTACATGTGGAAAAATTGAAATTTTATTTTGTTTTCTTTTAAATATCTTCCGATTATGATTACAAGGTTAATTTATGTATGGCACCTGGATAATAATATGTTTCTGAACCTAAATTACTAATTGAATGTACTTCATGTAGAGCAAAGGAATGTTAAATTCTACGTATGTTTTAACTAACTGACTAACTAGTGTACAGATGTGTTTATTCAGACTATTAGTTATATTTATGGTAAATTTAAACTTATATAAAGTATCGATTATCTGATTGGTCAATATGCTGACCTTGAAAATATGTGCGCACATTTAATTTATTTGATACAACAAATTCATCTCTATGATTCATTCAACTGAAGGAAATAAAAGTCTATGAAAACTTCATATTTCCATTTGTATTATGTTGGAAGTTGGTATTCCAATTAATCAGAGGCTAAATAAACTAAAATTTTGACAATTGTATGTGGAAAAATTTATCAATATACTGTACATCATGAGTCATTTACAAGTAAGATAATGAAAATTGGACATAAAAAACTGGGAGGTTTTTTTTCTGGGTTTCTATCAAGACAAGATGTTGAAACGTATACTTATAAAACGCTACATCGATAGAAGTGCAAAATTATAGGAAAATAAACGTTATTTATCGTTACGAAAGGCATTTCCAAGAATCTACAGACACTCATCAACAAATGCCACCTACGCTCGTTACTGACTTTGAAGCTCAGATGGCCAGAATAATAAGAATGAGCAATGAGAAACTCTGGCTGTCAACAAACCAACAAAGCAAGAACCTATCAATCAACAAATGTGTACTGGAAGGGAGTGGAGAGTGATTGGGCATACACTGAGAATGCCGACTGAGGATATCACACCACAGGTCAGACGGTCGAGTGGAACCTAGATGGGAAACGATGAGTTTGGCATCCAATGTGAGGGTGACATGGAGGAGATGGTGAGAGGAGGGAATGTGAGCTTGTGTGCAGTGGTGGAGCGATGTTGAAAAGTTTGCAGGGAATTGGGGAGTGGAATGGAGATGTGCTACTGAAGCGTTATGTTCCACTAGGAACCCAAGGGACAAATAAATAAAATAAATAATAAACTTTATTTACAAAATAAATACTTTCAGAGAAAACTATCCTTGGCAAGTCTGTCACAGATCAACAAACTTTCTTAGTTACTAAAATCACTTTTCTAAATGCAACTTTAATTAAAAAATAGACAGGATGTTTGTGAAGACCTTTTGTTCGAAAGAAATTTACTTGGAAAACAATATACATTCAGACAGTGAAACCAAAGCTGGA